ATTGTTTGTTACTATTAATAACAACGAACAAGTAGCAATATTAGTTACTCTATGGTTGTTACTATTAGTACTATTGATTGTTACTATTAGTAACAAGTAACAATATTAGTTACTCTATGGTTGTTGTTACTATTAGTACTATTGATTGTTTGTTACTATTAGTAACAACTAACAAGTAACAATATTAGTTACTATTAGTAACAATCAATCAATCAATCAATCAATGATATAGCTGTTGTTACTAATAATAATAATAATAATAATAATAATAATAATATTCCGCTTTTTATTTCTGATTAGTCTTCAGATTTGGAGCTTCAGTCAATCAATCATACATCGTTATCATCCAACTGTTAGTAACAACAATCAATCAATGATATGGCTGTTGTTAATAATAATAATAATAATATCCCGCTTTTTATGTCTGCCATGTCTTCAGATTTGGAGCACCAGTCAATCAATCAATCATCATCTAGTCAATCATCATCGTAATCATCAAGCCCTGGCCCTTGAGCGTTCTAACTGGAGGTCAGCTGTGACCAGCAGTGCTGCAGAATTTAAAGAGGCATGAGTAGAGGGAGAAACATGCCAAGAGGAACCTTGACCGGGACCGCCTTCCATCTGAACACTGCGGGAGAACATATGGATCAATAATAGGGCTCCACCGCCAAGATACTACGCTTGGAGGACCATCATCCTCGTCTACAAGGGATTGCCTAAGTAAGTAAGTAAGTAAGTAAGCAAAGCATCCAGTTATTTTAAGCAATACATTCAACCTGGTATTTCTCATAATGCCATCCACATCAGCACCTGCACTTTGGGATTCAATTGATTGCATGATTGTTGTTGTTGTTATTGTTGTTATATGCAAAGTGAGAAAAGCATTGCACTGACCTACGTTTAAAAAGGAAAGTGACAAAACACATCCAAGGTCCTAAAGTCAAAGGACTCTTTGGAGAGCTGGCGGTGACATTTGGCACCGATTCGGACCACTTTCCGGATCCGTTGTGATAGGGCTCTAAAGGACGTGTGTTCGTTTCACACCTGGATCCAGGGCGACAATTGGTATTTCCCCATCGCTGGATCCGGTTGGAAAGGAAATGGATGGGTTTGGTACTGCCTTGCGGGGAGTTGTGTCAGTGGAGTTTCGGTACCGCCTTGCGGGGAGCGTTTTGGTGGCAGCGGGTTGTGAATCCGGGAAGTCGAATGGCTTTGAATTACAGGGAGGTAGATTAGGTTGAAGCCTACGGAGAAAGGACCCCGGAAAGGTCCAAAAACGGACACTTCCACTCCCTGAAAAGGCCTAAGCATAATCCTGAATGCGTTTCTGTGAATCCGGATCATCCAAGGATTCAGATTCACAGAAATATTGCAACGAGTGATAGAGGATATGGCTTGAAAAGCTTTGGGACGATAGGCCTATCCGTTGCTGTTGCTTTCCAGGTGAGAAACCCATATCCGGACACATTGGTGGAGTTCAGAATGCTCTTTGATTGTAGGTGAACTATACATCCCAGTAACTACAACTCGCATATGTCAAGGTCTATTTTCCCCCAAGAGCGCCTCAAGAGTGCCCCTGGGCAAAATCAACTGTACTGCGAAGGCTTACTTTGCGTAATGGGTTAGCCGCCCTTGTCCGGACACACTTTTGAATTGCTTTCTATCACAAACCCTACTTAGAACCAGCTTCTCATGCAGGGACATGAGATAAGCCTTCCCACAAGGATGGGAACACATCAAAACAGCCGGTCAACATCCTTGCAGACAGCCAATTATCTCACACCAGAAGCGACTTGCAGTTTTCTCAAGTTACTCCTGAGACGACACAAAAACAAAAACAAACCTATGACCATTGGCCGCTCAAGCGTCTGACCCATGATTTGGATTCTAAACTGTCAAAACTATTTCTACCATCAATAAAGAAAAATTATTATTGTTGTTGTTATTATTATTATTATTATTATTCTATGTATTTATATCCCACTTTATTTTGCCCAAAGAAAATTAGGTGTATTGACGAGTAAATGACGCATTGGAAAATTGCCGTCTTTACCAATTGTATAACAATACTTATAATTAAATATATAGATTCCATTGTTTTGGACCCATCATATTGCTGTGAGTTTTCCAGACTGTCTGGTTATGTTCCGGAAGCATTCTCTCCTGACGTTTCGCCCACATCTATGGCAGGCAAACTCAGAAGGTGTGAGGTCTGTTGGAAACTAGGAAAATGTGAAATATGGGGGGATTCAGAGTGGCTAACACCTCCCAACAAAGGATTTCCCCAGGCAGGAAGCAGCCAGGCTTTGAAGCTGCAAGACTACTCAATGCTAATCAAGGTGGCCAATTGCAACATTCACACTTGCCTCCAGCAGACAAGAGTTCTTTCTCCCACCCTGGACATCATTCCACAAGTATATAAACCCCATTTTTTTAGTTTCCAACAGACCTCACAACCTCTGAGGATGCCTGTTATAGATGTGGGTGAAACGTCAGGAGAGAATGCTCCTGGAACACGGCCAGACAGCTCTGAAGATTCAGATTGCTGTCAAAGGCTTTCATGGCCGGAATCACTGGGGTGCTGTGAGTTTGAATGGCCTTGCAGAAAATTGAGGAATTCTAGACCTGAAACAGTCATGGCAAGCTAACACCTCCCAACAAAGGATTCCCCTAGGCAGGAAGCAGCCAGGCCTTGAAGCTGAAAGGCCATTCAATGCTATTCATGGCGATTAACGGCAACATTCACACTGGCCACAAACAGACAAGAGTTTTTTCTCCCATCCAGGACCAGGTAACATCTCCCAACCAAGGATTTCTCCAGACAGGAAGCAGCCAGGCTTTGAAGCTGCAAGACTACTCAATGCTGATCAAGGTGGCCAATGGAAACATTCACACATGCCTCATGTCTCAATCCCTGGACATCATTCCACAGATATATAAACTCAATTTTCTTAGTTTCCAACAGACCTCACAACCTCTGAGGATGCCTGCTATACATGTGGGCAAAATGTCAGGAGAGAATGCTTCTGGAACATAGCCAGACAGCCTGGAAAACTCACAACAACTATAGTTCGATTGTTGCTTTAGTGCAAAAAAGATTTATCGCTTCACCAAGTTGTCCCCAAATCCCGTACTAAACACATACACATACACACACACACTCACACACACACACAAAAGAGGCCTTGGCTCTGAAATTGAGCTGCGGGTCTATGTATTAAAACCGGTCATTTTGGGGAAAGGAGAGGCAGCGATGATAACAAATGCGGAACAGTCTTTCCCCCCGAAAAATGGCTATTCGTTTCTATGTCGTTTGTATATAGAAGCGCACGTTGACTATTCGAAAGAAGGGAATCGCTCCGACGTTGAGGGTCCCTCCGCGGATCGAAACTAAACCAGTTCTGCTGGTGAGTTACATATATATATGTGTGTGTGTGTGTACAGAAGATATATTCAATCTCAAATATATATACGAGAGTTGAATGAAACATAATGCCTCCATCTTCGTAACCCCTCAACAGGTGGAAGTACAGGTATACGGCATGTACTGGCTTGTTCAGTAGACTCTCCTCTATGGAATTCAATGTCAATGTCAAGAATTCAGTGACTGCACGTTGCTTAAGTTGCATTGACCAACCGTCTGCGCAGGGTTCCATACTTTGCACTTTAACAACTCAACCATTCAATGCTAAGGCTTCCCACCAAAATGGAACTGTAGAGGAGAGTCTTCTGAACAAGCCAGTACCTGCCGCATATGTTGCTTCAGTCGCATTGACCGACCGTCTGCGCAGGGTTCCATACTTCACACTTTAATAACACAACTGTTCAATGCTAAGGCTTCCTGCCAAAATGGAACTGTAGAGGAGAGTCTACTGAACAAGCCAGTACCTGCCGCATACCAGTACTACCATCTGTTGACGAGTTACGAAGGTGGAGGCATTACTTTTCATTCAACCCGTGTGTGTGTGTGTGTGTGTGTGTGTGTGTGTGTGTGTATCTTAAATATGGAGCCCTTGGTGGCACAGTGGGTTAAATCCCTGTGCCAGCAGGACTGAAGATGGACAGGTCGCAGGTTCAAATCTGAGGAGAGTGCGGATGAGCTCCCTCTATCAGCTCCAGCTCCTCATGTGAGGAGAAGACTCCCACAAGAATGGTAAAAACAAAACATCCGGGCAACGTTCCCTGGACAATGTCCTTGCAGACGGCCAATTCTCTCACACCAGAAGCGACTTGCAATTTCTCAAGTCACTCTTGACATAAAAAAAAATCAAATATATTTTCCAGCAGACGTCCAAAACTTTTCCGCTATTGGTTACTCCACGTCTCCAAAACATCCAATGGTCCCCTGGGCAACGCCCTTGTAGACGGCCAATTCTCTCACACCAGAAGCAACTTGCAGTTTCTCAAGTCGCTCCTGACACAACAATAACAAAAAAAATCTCAAATATATTTACCAGCAGATTCCCAAAATGTTTTCGCTATTGGTTACTCCATGTCTCCAAAACATCCAGGCGTCCTCTGGGCAACGTCCTTGCAGACAGCCAATTATCTCACACCAGAAGCAACTTGCAGTTTCTCAAGTCGCTCCTGACACAACAAAATAAATAAATACATCTCAAATATATTTTCTAGCAGATGCCCAAAACATTTCTGCTATTGGTTACTCCACGTCTCCAAAACATCCGGGCTTCCCTGGGCAACGTCCTTGTAGATGGCCAATTCTCTCACACCAGAAGCGACTTGCAGTTTCTCAAGTTACTCCTGAGACGACCAAAAAAAACCTAAACAAAACAATCTCAAATATATTTTTCATCAGACGCCCAAAACGTTTCCGCTATTGGTTACTCCACGTTTCGACGGCTAGCTAAATATTTCCCTCTATTCGTATAAAAACTGCACTTATATGTATCTATATCTGTATTTATATATGTGTGTTATGCTTCTTTCCCCCCTATTAAAGTTTGGCCTCTTGTCCCCAACCGACCGCTCTCTTTGCCTCTGCGCGTCCATCCAAGAGGTCTGGCCAAAAAGACAGAGGAGTCCCCTCCGTTCTCAAGGAGGAGAAATCAAAGGATGATCCGTCGTGTCTTTAGAGTTAAGAAAACCTGAGCATGGAATGTCTTTTTATAGAAAGGACCTGAAAAGGGGAGTTCTGGGCCCTTCGGTGACCGGCTTCAAGCTCAGTCCCGCGGAGATCGGCCGCCCCGTTCTCCGTTTCCGCTCCGCCGAATTATCCGGTCGCCATCGCCGGACGCTTTCGCCACCTCGCCATACGGTCTGGCTCTGCCGTACCCTCTTGGGCTCCCAAAAGTCCACCGGAAAAGTCCCCTGCCGCACCTCTCTCTCTCTCTCTCTCTCGGCACACGGCTCAGCCCCATGGGCGCCAAGGAAAATATCCGCTCCGGACCCCCGTTATCCGCCCTCATAAGATGTCGTCGTAATCCAGCAGCTTGGAGTGTTGGCGGGTCTTCCAGAGGCGGTAGAGGCGGAAGTCGAAGTAGGTCTCAATCATTTGCTTTCCTAGAAAAAGTCGGAGGCATGTCAAGAGCTCAGTTCCCACAAATGAAGGGACAGTTTTATTACAAGTCCATAGACGCATCAGTAAACAACAACAAAATACAACGCACGCGCAAAACCACATATATATATACACACAAACACACATATATACACACACAAAACACATACACAGAAAGGAGGAAGGAAGGAAAGGAAGAAGGAAGGAAGGAGAGAAGGAGGGAAAGAAGGAGGGAAGGAGAGAAAGAAGGAAAGAAAGAAAGGTAGAGAAGGAAGGAGGGAGAGAAGAAGGGAAAAAGGCAGGAAGGAGAGAAGGAAGGAAAAAAAGGAAGGGTAGAGAATGATGGGAGGAGAGAAGGAAAGAAAGAAAGAAAGACAGGTAGAGAAGGGAGAAGGAGGGAAAGAAGGAGGGAAGGAGATAAAGAAGGAAAGAAAGAAAGGTAGAGAAGGAAGGACGGAGAAAAGAAGGGAAAGAAGGAGAGAAGGAGAGAATGACGGAAAAAAGGAAGGGTAGAAAAGAATGGGAGGAGAGAAGGAAAGAAAGAAAGACAGGTAGGGAAGGGAAAGGGAGGGAAAGAAGGAGGGAAGGAGATAAAGAAGGAAAGAAAGAAGGGTAGAGAAGGAAGGAAGGAGAGAAGGCGGGAGAGAAGAAGGGAAAGAAGGAGGGAAGGAGAGAAAGAAGGAAAGAAAGAAAGTAGAGAAGGAAGGAAGGAGAGAAGGAGGGAAAAAGGAGGGAAGGAGAGAAGAGGAAAAAAAGAAAGAAGAGGGAGAAGGGGAGGAGAGAAGGAAGAAAGAAAGGTAGGGAAGGGAGAGGGAGGGAAAAAGGAGGGAAGGAGATAAAGAAGGAAAGAAAGAAGGATAGAGAAAGAAGGAAGGAGAGAAGGAGGGAGAGAAGAAGGGAAAAAAGGAGGGAAGGAGAGAAAGAAAGAAATAAAGGTAGAGAAGGAAGGAGGGATAGAAGAAGGGAAAGGAGGAGAGAAGGAAGGGAAAAAAGGAAAGGTAGAGAAGGAGGGAAGGAGAGCAGGAAAGAAAGAAAGACAGGTAGGGAAGGGAGAGGGAAGGAAAGAAGGAGGGAAGGAGATGAAGAAGGAAAGAAGGAAAGGTAGAGAAGGAAGGGAGAGAAGGAGGGAAAGAAGGAGGGAAGGAGATAAAGAAGGAAAGAAAAGGGTAGAGAAGGAAGGAAGGAGAGAAGAAGGGAAAGAAGAAGGGAAAGAAGGAGCGAAGGAGATAAAGAAGGAAAGAATGAAAGGTAGAGAAGGAAGGAGGGAAAGAAGGGAAAGAAGGAGGGAAGGAGAGAAGGAAGGAAAAAAAGGAAGTGTAGAGAAGGATGGGAGGAGAGAAGGAGGGAGAGAAAGAGGGAAGGAGAGAAGGAAAGAAAGAAAGACAGATAGGGAAGGGAGAGGGAAAAAGTCCGGCCCGGGGATTTAGACATTCACTACTATTATTATTATCGATATAAAGTGAAATAAAATTAATTATACTTGGGAAATAATAATTCCCAATATTTTATATACCTTATTATTATTATTATTGTTATTATTATTAGAAACACAACAAGATGAGTCCACAGCAAACAAGATCACTCTGCTTATTATTATTAATATTATTATTATTATTATTATTATTATTATTATTATTATCTGAACATCTCTAGTTCCGGCAGGCATGTCTAAACTCCGGCCCGCGGGCCAAGTGTGGCCCTTGCTCACTTTCCCATTGGCCCACCGCCTCTGTCATAAAATCAATAACATGCGGTCGCAACACACCGTTTGGAAAGCTCTGGCCTTTAATAATAATAATCCCGGGGGAAATAATAATATTTTCCACTATTTTATATTCCCTACTATTATTATTATTGATATAAAGCGAAATAAAATTAATTATACTTGGGAAATAATAAAAATAATTCCCAATATTTTTATATTCTGATCCTGCAATCGCGTACCAAAAGCACTTACCTTGAGCGGAGAGTTCGAGCGGAGACTCAAAAGTCACGCGGCAAGGGCTCATGAGATTCTTCAGGTTTTGGAAGAGCTGGGAGGCAAAGAAATATATATCCAGTTCAGTAGCAGGGACAAGGCAAAGGAACAAACTGATAATTTTGGACATGTTCAGAGGAACTAAGGAAGGTATGGACAAAATTTGGCCCTCTGGGTGTTTTGGACTTCAACTTCCACAATTTCTAACAGCCTACCGGTGCAATTACTACGAGGGTTGAATGAAAAGTTATGCCTCCACCTTCATAACTCCTCAACAGATGGCAGTACTGGTAGGCGGCAGGTACTGACTTGTTCAGTAGACTCTCCTCTACAGTTCCATTTTGGTGGGAAGCCTTGGCATTGAACGTTTGTGTTGCTAAAGTGCGAAGCATGGAACCCTGTGCAGACATAAATTTAAAGATGTTGAGGTGACACCTTCTGCTGTCAAGAATTCAATGACTGCGTGTTGCTTAAGTCGCATTGACCTACCATCTGTGCAGGGTTCCATATTTGCACTTTAACAACACAACCATTCAATGGTAAGGCTTCCTGCCAAAATGGAACTGTAGAGGAGAGTCTACTGAACAAGCCAGTACCTGCCGCATACCAGTACTGCCTTCTGTTGAGGAGTTACGAAGGTGGAGGCATTTATTTTCATTCAACCCTCGTATAACGAAAAAAGAACAAAATTTCGTTACGTTATAGTAACAAAATTTTCATGAACAACACTCCAGAAACAAAACGCTGGCGCTCCCTAATTTAGTAATGAGCTTTGAAACATGTTTTGTATTGATTGCACATGCCTAATATCTACAATCAATCCAAATTTATATGATATAGTGTCCGTACCTTCTCTCCATTGTGGTTCCCCAAGACGTAGCACCCCATTATGTGGACGACGTTTGGCTCCGGGTTCAATTTACTCATCAGATGGCCCAGTCGCTTCCAGAAGCTGCAGGGGGAAAAAAGACTGTATTGGATTCATCCATTGCATTCATTGTCATTTTCCTTCTATTTTACTTATGTTCTGGCAGTCCCCGAGTTACAAACATCTGACTTACAAACAACTTATAGTTTAATGTAAGCTGCTTTGAGTTTTTGTGGAGGGAAAAAGCAGAGTATAAATAAACACGAGAATAATAATATCGTACGTTGTATTTCTTATTGCTATTATTAGGGAAATAGTAATAACAATTATATTTCCTAGTATTTTTATATTCCTTCTTCTTCTTCTTCTTCTTCTTCTTCTTAATATAAATAGTCCCAGGGAAATAATAATAATATTTCCCAGTATTTTTATATTCATCACCATCATCATCATCATTATTATTATTAATAGTCCCAGGGAAATAATAATAATAATAATATTTCCTAGTATTTTTATATTCATTATTATTATTATTATTATTATTATTATTATTATTATTATTATTAGTCCCAGGGAAATAATAATATTTCCCAGTATTTTTATATTCATTATTACTATTATTATTATTAATAGTCCCAGGGAAATAATAATAATAATTCCTAGTATTTTTATATTCATTATTATTATTATTATTATTAGTCCCAGGGAAATAATAATAATATTTCCCAGTATTTTTATATTCCATATTGTTATGATTAATAATAATGATAATCCCAGGGAAATAATCATAATAATATTTTCCACTATTTTATATTCCTTACTATTAATAATAATAATAATAATAATAATAATAATAAAAAGTAAAATAAAATTAATTATACTTGGAAAGTAATAATAATTCCCAATATTTTTATATTCCATATTATTATTATTTCCTTGGTACTATTTATATTCCTAAAACTAATAATAATAATATGGAACATAAAATTACTGGGAAATATTAATAATAATATTAATATGGAATATAACAATACTGGGTAATAATAATAATAATAATAATAATAATAACTAGATCATACTTACTAGATCATATCTTCCTCCTTCTCCACTTTTGCAAACGTGGCGACTTTATTCTTCAATAAATATAAATGGCCTGGACCCCCCTGAAAAAAGAAAGAAATTCAGAATCTGAAGCTATTATTGTTATTATTATTGGATAATAATAATAATAATAATAATAATAATAATAATAATAATATAGAATAATCTGCTTCTCTGGCCAGAGTGAAGAGAGCAGGGGCAGAAGTCTGTTCCATCTTGTCTCCTGTGCTTTACTAATAATATAATATAATATAATATAATATAATATAATATATTGTAAATGCATATAATATTTATAATATTATAATGTAATACAATATAACACTACTAATAATAATACAATATTATAATTATATATTTTATATTACATGTAATATTACTAATAATATTACAATATAATGGTATAGTACAATATACTAATATATATAATACTGATATTGTACTATGCTAATAATATAATATATTGTGTGTGTGTGTGTGTGTGTGTGTGTGTGTGTGTGTGTGTGTGTGTATATATATATATATATATATATATAGTAAGCCACTCTGAGTCTCCTTCAGGGTAAGAAGGGTGGAATATAAATGTCTTAAATATATAATATAATATAATATAATATAATTATACACTAATAAATAATATAATTACATCTAATAATAAATAATTAAATAATTATTGATTAATAATTAATAATTAAATATAATTCTATATAATAATATATCAGATAATACTAATAATACTAATAATAATAATAATAATAATACGAAGACTACATAGCCTCTGCAGGGAGAAAGATACAGTTTCGGCTCAATGCTGTGGGATCTTGGGAGTTGTAGTTTACCTGGCAGAAGATCAACAACTTCCAGATTTTGCAGCCCTTTCGATAGATGTTCAGCTTCTTCTCGATTTCTTCTGCAGAAGGAAAGGGGGGAAAAGAGCGGATGGAAAAAGTCTTCAGCATTATATATGAAGATTTACGGATTTCCATGACTTCCTGTCTCGCCATCAAATTTAATTCAAAATTATGCACTTACCCAAAATGTCATCAAAGGTGGCATGTTCGTGATCCTATAAGGAAAGGGGGAAAGATGGCTAAATATTCTTAGTTTTTACCCAGTCGATTTAAACCTAGGATTATAAACTTTATCCCAGTGTTCCTGACTCTCTCCATTGGTGTGGAGAGAGTCTCCACTGCCTCTCTCTTCACCCTTTTATACAGTCATAATTCCAAGTGACAGCTTTCATACACTCATAATTCCATCCTAGATTTCATGTGTTTCCTCCACCACAGACATCCCAGTGTTCCAGACTCTCTCCATTGGTGTGGAGAGAGTCTCCACTGCCTCTCCCTTCACCTTTTCATACACTCATATTTCCAATGACGGCTTTAATACACTCATATTTCCATCCTAGATTTGACGTGTTTCCTCCACCACAGACATCCCAGTGTTCCTGACTCTCTCCATTGGTGTGGAGAGAGTCTCCACTGCCTCTCCCTTCACCCTTTCATACACTCATAATTCCAAGTGACGGCTTTCACACGCTCATAATTCCATCCTAGATTTGATGTGTTTCCTCCACCACAGACATCCCAGTGTTCCTGACTCTCTCCATTAGTGTGGAGAGAGTCTCCACTGCCTCTCCCTTCACCCTTTCATACACTCATAATTCCAAGTGATGGCTTTCACACACTCATATTTCCATCCTAGATTTGATCTCTTTCCTCCACCACAGACATCCCAGTGTTCCTGACTCTCCATTGGTGTGGAGAGAGTCTCAACTGCCTCTCCCTTCACCCTTTCATACACTCATAATTCCTAGTGACGGCTTTCATACATTCATGAGTCCATCCTAGATTTGATGTGTTTCCTTCACCACAGACAGCCCAGTGTTCCTGACTCTCTCCATTGGTGTGCAGAGAGTCTCCACTGCCTCTCTCTTCACCCTTTCATACACTCATAATTCCAAGTGACGGCTTTCATACACTCGTAATTCCATCCTAGATTTGATGTGTTTCCTCCCACCACAGACATCCCAGTGTTCCTGACTCTCTCCATTGGTGTGGAGAGAGTTTCCACTGCCTCTCCCTTCACCCTTTCATACACTCATAATTCCAAATGACGGCTTTCACACACTCATAATTTCATCCCAAATTTGATGTGTTTCCTCCACGACAGACATCCAAGTATTTCTTACTCTCTCCATTGGTGTAGAATTTGCTTGACCCTGCCCACTTCCTCTCCCTTAATAAACCCTTTCCTATTATTTTCTATGGCACACAGCAAACAGGGGGATCGATCAGCAATTGAACATGCTAGAGAAGTTTGGGGAGGATTCACCATGATTTTTAGGAGTTGTAGGTCCTGGGATGTATAGTTCACATGCAATCTAAGAGCACTCTCAATTCCACCAATGATGGTCCTGGGTGGCAAAAGATTACACATAAGAGTCCTGAGCCAAAGGTGTCAATGGAAGGTCAGAATAACAAGGGGGCGCAGTGCCTGATGTGTCCACTGGAGGGCAGCAAAGGACAACACATAGCAGTCCTGAGCAGAGAGATGCCCCATAGGCCTCAATGGAGGGTCAAAATAACAAGAGGGCGCAATGCCCGCCCCAGGAGGGCGGCAAAGGATAACACATAGGAGTCCTGGGCAGAGAGATGCCCCATAGGTGTCAATGGAGGGGCAGAATAACAAGAGGGCGCAACGCCTGATGTGTCCACAGGAGGGCGGCAAAGGATAACACATAGGAGTCCTGGGCAGAGAGATGCCCCATAGGCTTCAATGGAGGGGCAGAATAACAAGAGGGCGCAATGCCTGATGTGTCCACAGGAGGGCGGCAAAGGACAACACATAGGAGTCCTGGGCAGAGAGATGCCCCATAGGCTTCAATGGAGGGGCAGAATAACAAGAGGGCGCAATGCCTGATGTGTCCCAGGAGGGCGGCAAAGGATAACACATAGGAGTCCTGGGCAGAGAGATGCCCCATAGGCTTCAATGGAGGGGCAGAATAACAAGAGGGCGCAACGCCTGATGTGTCCACAGGAGGGCGGCAAAGGATAACACATAGGAGTCCTGGGCAGGGAGATGCCCCATAGGCTTCAATGGAGGGGCAGAATAACAAGAGGGCGCAACGCCTGATGTGTCCACAGGAGGGCGGCAAAGGATAACACATAGGAGTCCTGGGCAGAGAGATGCCCCATAGGCTTCAATGGAGGGGCAGAATAACAAGAGGGCGCAACGCCTGATGTGTCCACAGGAGGGCGGCAAAGGATAACACATAGGAGTCCTGGGCAGAGAGATGCCCCATAGGCTTCAATGGAGGGGCAGAATAACAAGAGGGCGCAACGCCTGATGTGTCCACAGGAGGGCGGCAAAGGATAACACATAGGAGTCCTGGGCAGGGAGATGCCCCATAGGCTTCAATGGAGGGGCAGAATAACAAGAGGGCGCAACGCCTGATGTGTCCACAGGAGGGCGGCAAAGGATAACACATAGGAGTCCTGGGCAGAGAGATGCCCCATAGGTGTCAATGGAGGGGCAGAATAACAAGAGGGCGCAACGCCTGATGTGTCCACAGGAGGGCGGCAAAGGATAACACATAGGAGTCCTGGGCAGAGAGATGCCCCATAGGTGTCAATGGAGGGGCAGAATAACAAGAGGGCGCAACGCCTGATGTGTCCACAGGAGGGCGGCAAAGGATAACACATAGGAGTCCTGGGCAGAGAGATGCCCCATAGGTGTCAATGGAGGGGCAGAATAACAAGAGGGCGCAACGCCTGATGTGTCCACAGGAGGGCGGCAAAGGATAACACATAGGAGTCCTGGGCAGGGAGATGCCCCATAGGCTTCAATGGAGGGGCAGAATAACAAGAGGGCGCAACGCCTGATGTGTCCACAGGAGGGCGGCAAAGGATAACACATAGGAGTCCTGGGCAGGGAGATGCCCCATAGGCTTCAATGGAGGGGCAGAATAACAAGAGGGCGCAACGCCTGATGTGTCCACAGGAGGGCGGCAAAGGATAACACATAGGAGTCCTGGGCAGGGAGATGCCCCATAGGCTTCAATGGAGGGGCAGAATAACAAGAGGGCGCAACGCCTGATGTGTCCACAGGAGGGCGGCAAAGGATAACACATAGGAGTCCTGGGCAGAGAGATGCCCCATAGGTGTCAATGGAGGGGCAGAATAACAAGAGGGCGCAACGCCTGATGTGTCCACAGGAGGGCGGCAAAGGATAACACATAGGAGTCCTGGGCAGAGAGATGCCCCATAGGTGTCAATGGAGGGGCAGAATAACAAGAGGGCGCAACGCCTGATGTGTCCACAGGAGGGCGGCAAAGGATAACACATAGGAGTCCTGGGCAGAGAGATGCCCCATAGGCTTCAATGGAGGGGCAGAATAACAAGAGGGCGCAATGCCTGATGTGTCCACTGGAGGGCGGCAAAGGATAACACATAGGAGTCCTGGGCAGGGAGATGCCCCATAGGCTTCAATGGAGGGGCAGAATAACAAGAGGGCGCAACGCCTGATGTGTCCACAGGAGGGCGGCAAAGGATAACACATAGGAGTCCTGGGCAGAGAGATGCCCCATAGGCTTCAATGGAGGGGCAGAATAACAAGAGGGCGCAATGCCTGATGTGTCCACAGGAGGGCGGCAAAGGATAACACATAGGAGTCCTGGGCAGAGAGATGCCCCATAGGCTTCAATGGAGGGGCAGAATAACAAGAGGGCGCAATGCCTGATGTGTCCACAGGAGGGCGGCAAAGGACAACACATAGGAGTCCTGGGCAGAGAGAAGCCCCATAGGCTTCAATGGAGGGGCAGAATAACAAGGGGGCGCAATGCCTGATGTGTCCACAGGAGGGCGGCAAAGGATAACACATAGGAGTCCTGGGCAGGGAGATGCCCCATAGGCTTCAATGGAGGGGCAGAATAACAAGAGGGCGCAACGCCTGATGTGTCCACAGGAGGGCGGCAAAGGATAACACATAGGAGTCCTGGGCAGAGAGATGCCCCATAGGTGTCAATGGAGGGGCAGAATAACAAGAGGGCGCAATGCCTGATGTGTCCACTGGAGGGCGGCAAAGGACAACACATAGGAGTCCTGGGCAGGGAGATGCCCCATAGGCTTCAATGGAGGGTCAGAATAACAAGGGGGCGCAATGCCTGATGTGTCCACAGGAGGGCGGCAAAGGACAACACATAAGATGAATTGAACCAATATAACATCTGTATTATGACACTAGCTGTACCCAGCCACGCATTGCTGTGGTCCTTAGAAAACAGAGGAATTCCAGACATGAAACAATCTGGTCTAGGGAACACCTCCCCACAAAGGTTTCCCGCAGGCAGGAAGAAGCCAGGCTTTTAAGCTGCAAGGCTTTTCAAAGGTAATCAAGGTGGGCAATTGCAACATTCACACCTGGCTCAAGTAGAAAAGAGTTGTTTTTCCCACCCTTGACCTTTCACATACCTTTAAAGAGAAGCCTCTCACAGGATGGTAAAACATCTAGAAATCCCTTTGGGGACCATCCTTGGAGACAACCAATTCTATCACGCTGGAAACAACTTGTAGTTTCTCAAGGTTTGGGAGATATGGAGTCCCCATAAACAGCAGCATATTTTTATTTATACAGAATGCCTGCAGGTATTTGTGGTTGGATATATATGTGTGTGTATATATATGTATGTGTGTATGTGTGCAGGCATTTGTGTGTATATATGTTTGTAAGTTTATTTGTATATTTGTGTATTTATGTGTGTTTATGTATGTGAGTGTGTATACATATATACAATATATTGTATATATGTATACAATCTCAACAAAAGATTGCCCCAGGCACTGCCAGGCCATCAAATGCTAATCAAAGTGGTTAGTTGAAACATTCACACCTAGTTCCAACAGACAAGAGTTCTTTGTCCCACCCTGGTCGTTCCACAGATATATAAACCCTTTTGCCTAGTTCCAACAGACCTCACTACCTCTGAGGATGCTTGCCATAGATGCAGGCGAAACGTCAGAAGAGAATGCCACTAGAACATGGCCATATAACCCGAAAAAAATACAACAGTTATCCAATACAACAGCCAGTAGAGTGTCTGCTGTGGACTCATCTTGTTGTATTTCAAATAATAATAATAATAATAATAATAATAATAATAATAATAATAATTTTAGAAAATAATAAATTGAAAGACAAACCAAAGAGAGCGACTTCACCATAGACTTACTTACATAGAGAATGGGGATGATGGATGGGTCGTCCCGGCGGATGATGGTGGGGACGTACTCCGCTTTGGGCACTTTGGAGGAAATGAGCTGGAGAAAAGGAGAAAAAGCAGGAAAAGAAGCATATTGTGGCCAACGGTCAGCAATGTTTATATTCAATATAAATATTATATATTTATATTTATATTAAATATAAATATAATATAAATATAATATATTCAATTCCCTGTTGAAGCAGAAATGTGCTGCGATGGCATCTCTAAGAAGCAGTCTTTGATCTCTAATAAGTCACCCTGATCTCTAATTGGCAGTCATTGATCTCTGATTGGCAGTCAGTGACCTCTGAAAGGCTTTGATTGATTGTTGATAGGTGCTCAGTGATATCGAATAGACATCTATCGATCTCTAATATGTCGTCACTGATTGCTGATAGACAGCCACATCTCTGATAGGTGGTCATTGATTTCTGACTGGCCATCATTCATCTCTGATAGGTGATCACTAATCTCTAATAGGCAATTATCTCTGAAAGGCATCCATTGATCTTTGATAGGTGCTCATTGATATCTAATAGGCACTCATTGATCTCTAATAGGTTCTCATTGATCTCTAATAAGCCCTCTTTGATCTCTGATAGGCTGTCATTAATCTCTCATAGGCAGTCAATAATCTCTGAAAGGCACCCATTGATCTTTGATAGGTGCTCATTGATATCTAATAGGAACTCATTGATCTCTAATAAACCCTCTTTGATCTCTGATAGGCTGTCACTGATCTCTAATAGGCATCCATTGATCTTTGATAGGTGCTCATTGATATCTAATAGGCACTCATTGATCTCTATTAGGCACTCATTGATCTCTATTAGGCACTCATTGATCTCTAATAGCCACTCATTGATCTCTAATAAGCCCTCTTTGATAGGCTGTCATTGATCTCTGATAGGCGGTCACTAATCTCTAATAGGCAGTCAATGATATCTGAAAGACATCCATTGATCTTTGGTAGGTGCTCACTGATATCTAATAGGCACTCATTGATCTCTAATAGATACTCATTGATTTCTAATAGGCACTCACTGATCTCTAATAGGCACTCAGTGATCTCTAGCGGGCTGTCACTGACCACTGATAGGCAGTCACTGGTTTCTAATAGGCAGTTATTGATCTCTGAAAGGCATCCATTGATCTTGAACAGGCACTCATTAATTTCTAATAGGTTGTCATTGATTTCTGGTAGGCAGTCACTAATCTCTAATAGGCAGTCAATGATCTCTGAAAGACATCCATTGATCTTTAATAGGCGCTCATTGATATCTAATAGGCACTCATTGATCTCTAATAGGCCATCACTGATTGCCGATAGGCAGCCACAGCTCTGATCAATGGTCATTGACTCACCATGATTTTGGGTGGGACGAAGTCCTCCCCGCTACAGGCGGTGGCTTCGGCCTCCTTCTCCGCCTCCCAGTTCAGGTCAACTCCCTTCTCGGGAACGCAGCATGGATCCGGAGGGTCATGGCCTGTGTGTTGGAGGAAAACAAAGAGGATCTGAATCTCTCAGTGTACATATTATGCAAGACATCTCCAAGCGCCCACAGGCTTTCCCCTTTGTCCTATGGAAGATGGTCAAGGATGAAGCCCTAAAGGATGCTTGGTGTTGGGCTAAGACAGTGGAACCAAGCATCTGGTGCCTTTGAGCAGGATGTTCAAAACGTGATTTGGATGCCCTCCGAGATGGGGGACACTTCCAACCCTTTTGGGACCAAATCTAACCCTAAATGTAGCATACGACGGCAAACCAAAAGCTAACTCAACATGACCATGGACTAGAACTCAACTCTTGCCCATTGAATCCCCAAATTAATTTGGGAATTGAACTAATTGTACACAAGGGGTCCCCCATCTAAACCGTACTCTATGGGTCTCCAATCCAAACAAATTATTATTCTTATTATTACAAATTATAATAAATTATCGTTGTTGTCGTTATTAAAATTATTATATGTGGCTTGCAGAAGTAGCACGAAAACAGCACTTCATGGTTCCCCAATCCAATAACAACAACAATAATAAAACACTATATTATTATTATTATTATTACAAATTATAATAAATTATTATTATTATATGTGACTCACGACAGTAGCATATGAACAGTAACATACGGAGTACTGTTCGTATGCTACTACCGTGAATCACATATAATAATAATAATAATTTATTACACGGTGTTGTTGTTATTTTATGTGACTCACATTAGAATGCAAACAGTACTCCATGGGTCCAAGATAAAACAACAATAATAACAATAACAATAACAACAATAATAATAATAATAATATGTTGTTGTTGTTGTTATATGTGGCTCATGGCAGTAGCATGCAAACAGTACTCCATGGGTCTCAGTTCCAATAGTAGTAGTAGTAGTAGTACAACTACTACTACTACTAATAACAATATGTGCTATATGGGGCTCGTGGAAGTAGCATGCAAACAGTATACCATGGGTCCGAGATACTACTACAACAACAACAACAGCAGCAGCAGCAACAGCAACAGCAACAACAACAATACACTGTTGTTGTTGTTATGTGGCTCATGGAAGTAGAATACAAACAGCACTCCATGGGTCCCAGATCCAATAATAATATTAATAATACTAATAACAATATGTTGTTGTTGCTCGTGGTGTTGTGGTAGTATGTGGCTCATGGAAGTAGCATGCAAACAGTACTCCATGGGTCCCAGATCCAACAACAATAACAACAACAACAATAACAATATGTTGTTGTTATTGTTATATGTGGCTCATGGAAGTAGCATGCAAACAGTACTCCATGGGTCCCAGATCCAATAATAATAACAACAACAACAACAATCACAATATGTTGTTGTTGTTGTTATGTGGCTCATGGAAGTAGCATGCAAACAGTATTCCATGGGTCCCAGATCCAAATAATAATAACAACAACATTCACAATACGTTGTTGTTGTTGTTGTTGTTATGTGGCTCATGGAAATAGCATGCAAACAGTATTCCATGGGTCCCAGATCCAATAATAACAATCACAATCACAATCACAATACGTTGTTGTTGTTGTTGTTATGTGGCTCATGGAAATAGCATGCAAACAGTACTCCATGGGTATTCAATAATAATAATAAAAACAACAACAACAACAACAACAATCACAATACGTTGTTGTTGTTGTTGTTGTTGTTATGTGGCTCATGGAAGTAGTATGCAAACAGTAAACCCAATCTTGGGAAAGTTACACTTTGGGAATCTGCTAGCCACCCTTTTGTTTGGGAGCTGTAGTGCCAAATGGGTTCTTTTCCAGCTTTGCAATGTCAACACGGAGGACAAATGCGGATTTGCTTCGCTACCGCTCTCTCTCTTGCCAACGCACCTATTGGCCTCCTTGCCTATCTTTGACATCCAACTATCTCTACTTCCAAATGACTTGGGGTTTCCACTCCAGGCATTGTCGACTCCCTAGGTAGGTTATCATTGGGTTGCAATTCCTATTATTTTTGGTCTGAGAGGGGGAAGGCGGGGACGCAAAGGAACGTACTTTCTCGGGAATCATTGAGGTTTTCGGGCTTAGTGGGAGTGGGGTCGCTCCAGGACCGGCTGAAGCTCCTCTCGCGCCGCTCGGCAAAGGCTAAAACAAATTAAACAATAATAAGGGAATCATAACAACAGCCTTTTTCACGACCGGGACAAAACACGGGACAGGAGAAGGGCAAGGCGGGGAATGTTTCTCTATATGGTTCGGTCCGGATGAGCAAATGAGGCAAGAAGCGACTTAGAAAGGTCCCCAATCTCTCCCCCCCCCCTCCCTTCATGATGCTTTGACCACAACTCCCATTGTCCATCAAGGGATCTGAAGGAGAATGTTGGATTCATATATATATAGGATCCCGACGATGGTGGCTTCACTCACTCTGTGCCTTCATGCGGCGGCTCCCCACCATTCGGAGATGCTTCCTGAAGTTTCTGAAAGAAGAACAAGAAAGCAAGAAAGACCTTGAAACATTTGTAGGAAGGGGCACTTTTGTCATATGACAATAATATGAAAATGTATTGTCATTTGAAACACACTTTGGAAGAAAGTACTACTGTTAGGGAAAGAGATAGAAAATTGCCTTGGTCAATAGTTTGGACTATAGTCCTTATCAAACTACAACTTCCATCATTTCATGGCACTTAAGTGGTGTCAAACTACATTGACTTTACAGTGTAGACGCACCCCGGAGATAAAAGAAAGAGGTCTTTGTGGGGTGTTATGCTCCAAATGCCAAACAATGGAGGTTTAAGGTTTATTTTGGGCTATATGGCCATGTTCTAGAGGCACTTTCTCCTGATGTTTCGCCTGCATCTATGGCAAGCATCCTCAGAGGTAGTGAGGTCTGTTGGAACTAGGAAAATGGGTTTATATATCTGTGGAATGACCAGAGTGAGGCAGATAACTCTTGTCTGCTGGAGCTAGGTGTGAATGTTTCAACTGAGCACCTTGATTAGCATTTGATGGCCTGGCAGTGCTTGGGGCAATCTTTTGTTGAGAGGTGATTCCAGTGATTCCGGCCATGAAAGCCTTCGACATATGGAGGTTTAAAGTGGCAACGGACTAAAGAATGTGCACCTTGATATTTATTTACTTATTTACTATATTTATATACCGCCCTTCTCAGAGGTGACTCAGAGCGGTTCACAAATTGACAACATATGCGTCTCTCAAGCTAGTATGGGATCATTTTTGTACTTGGTTTTTATATGTTAGCATCTATATTTTGTTGCTTTTTTTAATTTGTTGGCTTTTAATTACCTTTTGAAAATTTAATGATTGGCATCTCGCAATCGAACAAACTCACTATTTCATCTTTTGTTGTCATGCTAACTGTCGCCACTAGGTGGCAACAGCACTCTGTCAAACTCACTATTTCATCTTTTGTTATCATGCTAACCATGACCACTAGGTGGCACCAGCACTCTATCAGTCAATCGGAATACACTTGACAGTTTACCTGTCAAACCTCTGGATTCATTGGCTTAAGTTGCGTCCCATAACTCTCTTTGCAGGGAAATGATTCTCCATCATAGATAATTCAAAATATTCCCAAATCCATAGATATTGATCACAAAAACAATATGGACAGTGGATGATGGGATTTGCAGTACCTTCAACTGATTGAGCTCTGACTTCCACAGACCACAAATTATAGACCTGGAACAAACTTGGCACACAGAACCCCAATGACCAACAGAAAATACTGGAGGGGCCTGGGAGGAATAGACAATTATTTACGGGAGATGTAGTTCACCTACATATGGAGAGCACTGTGATCCCAAACTTGGTACAAATACTCAATATGCCCAAATATGAACACTGGTGGAGTTTGGAGAAAACAGATCTTGGCATGTGGGAGTTGCAGTTGCTGGGATGTGTAGTTCCCCTGCCATCAAAGAGCGTTCTGAACTCCAACAACAATGGAATTGAACCAAACTTGGCACATAGAACTCCCACGACCAACAGAAAATACTGGGAGGGTTTGGTGGCCATTGACCTTGAGTTTGGGAGCTGTATTTCACCTACATCCAGAGAGCACCGTGGACTCAAACAATGATGGATCTGGACCAAACTTGGCATCAATACTCAATATGCTCAAATGTGAAGACTGATGGAGTTTGGGGAAAATATACCTTGACCTTTGGGAGTTGTAGTTGCTGGGATTTATAGTTCACCTACAATCAAAGAGCATTCTGAACTCCAACAACAATGGAATTGAACCATACTTGGCACACAGAACTCCCACGACCAACAGAAAATACTGGAAGGGTTTGGTGGGCATTGACCTTGAGTTTGGGAGTTGTAGTTCGCCTACAATCAAAGAGCATTCTGAACTCCAACAACAATGGAATTGAACCAAACTTGGCACACAGAACTCCCATGAACAACAGAATATACTGGAGAGATTTGGGGAAAATAGACCTTGGTATTTGGGAGCTACTGGGATGTATAGCTCCCCTGCCATCAAGGAGCATTCTGATCTCCAGCATAAATAGCGAGGGCCGGGCAGAAAGCCTGCCCGCATGACCTTGCCATTTGGGCAGTCCTCCACCTGGCTGCCAGTGCCGGGCGGAGGGGCTGACCAGGAGTGCTAGCTTTTTGTCTGGCACAGGGGGTCGGCAGCCATTTTGGAGGGGGCGGAGCCAACCAAGGTAGCTTCGCGACCCCCCGAAAATGGCCCAACGACCCCTCTGGGGGTCACAACCCCCATGTTGAGAACCGCTGTTCTATAACATTAACCCCAGGCTATGCATGTTATGCATATGAAACATCAATTAAATTAACGTTGAGACTTGGGTCCCATTTTGTGTATGTATGTATAAATGGGGAAAAATAAACAAAGATTAACCATATCCCTCCTATAACCGTGTCGATAACAAATCATACGATTCAATGGAAAAATCCTCAGGAAAGGGGAAAAAGTGACTCAAATCAATATATACAAGTGATGCAAAAGATGAGAAGTGAAGGATGCATTGCTCCGAGTACGCACCACGGACAAGACGCTGCGCGCGTGAGAAGAGAGGAAAGGAGAGCCACCCCGTTCTTCCGAGAGAACACAACACTCGTGTCTACACTGGATCCAGTTGCCATGGAAACACTCACACTCGGAGCACAACACATAAAGAGGCTGAACCGGAGGCATCCGGAGTTGGGCAACACAACCACAAAGCCCATCGAGATGACGGTGGAAACACCGAAATGAGCATCGGAGACGCTCCTCTACCTTTACCGGAGCGATTAACTCCAGCTTTTGATTTTCTGTCACTTGTAGATGTTTACATAGACTTTGTATCTTATATAGACTTCACTTGGACATGCTTTATCCGCAATTCCGAAATACTCCGAATAGTATTTCTTTCTTTATTTACAGTATTTGTATACCGCTTTTCTCAGCCCGAGGGGGACACGTCAGCTCTAGATTATTAAATATGGTTTTCTGTGGGTGAGAAGATGGTGCTTACTGGATGGCATACGTTCTGTAACGGAAACTAGAGCTGATGTGGTCTATCCAATGCAATTTTCTGAATCAGCACCCCCAATAACCAAACCAAATCTAAACTTGACCAACAACTGATTCATACATTGGATAGACCACATCAGCTCTAGATTATTAAATATAGTTTTCTGTGGGCGAACAGATGGCGACTACTGGATTACACATGTTCTTTATCAGAAACTAGAGCTGATGTGGTCTGTCCAATGCAATTTTCTGAATCAGCACCCCCAATAACCGAATCTAAAGTTGACCAAAAATCGATTTGTAGCCCTCTTGGTACTAATGTTGGAGAGGGATCCCTGGTCAAAGTGGTCCCTGATTTTCTGTGGGCAAGCATATGTTCTGTATCAGAAACTAGAGCTGATGTGGTCTATCCAATACAATTTTCTGAATCAGCACGCCCAATAACCACACCAAATCTAACGTTGACCAACAACTGATACATGCATTGGATAGACCATATCAGTGGGCAGATGGTGACTACTGGATGACATATGTTTTTTATCAGAAACTAGAGCTGATGTGGTCTGTCCCATGCAACTTTCTGAATCAGCACCCCAAATAACCACACCAAATCTAATGTTGACCAACATTGGATAGACCACATCAGATGGTGACTACTGGATGACATATGTTCTGTATCAGAAACTAGAGCTGATGTGGTCTGTCCAATGCAATTTTCTGAATCAGCACCCCCAATAACTATACCGAATCTAAAGCTGACCAACAACTGGATAGACCACATCAGCTCTAGATTATTAAATATGGTGGATGACATATGTTCTTTATCAGAAACGAGAGCTGATGTGGTCTGTCCAATGCATTTTTCTGAATCAGCACGCCCAATAACCACACCAAATCTAACGTTGACCAACAACTGATTCATGCATTGGATAGACCACATCAGTGGACAGATGGTGACTACTGGATGACATACATTCTTTATCAGAAACTAGAGCTGATGTGATCTGTCCAATGCAATTTTCTGAATCAGCACCCCAAGTAACTGAATCTAAAGTTGACCAAAAACCAATTCGTAACCCTTTTGGTACTAATGTTGGAGAGTGGTTCCTGGTCAACAAACGGTTGGAAACCACTGGATTAGAGTACGGAAATGCTGATCGAAAGATCAAAATGGTTCCCACCTCTCCAAAAAGGCAACCCCAAAAAGCTAGGCCTTGCCACCCTCCAAACATGGCTTCCCTTATTATGTCGCAGGACAGAACGCTTCCAAATTCTTGGGGGAAAGAAAACCTATAGTCATTGAAGTTTCTCAGCCAAGCTTCTCCTCCGCTTGCAGCAAAAGCTCTATACATTATGACCAAAGCAGCCAAAGATGGACTCCCTACGATGCCAAGAAGCCAAAGTCTGCTGGCCAAACAAAGCGAGTAACAGCTTCTCCTTCGTCAACCAAGGTGCGGGAACAAGCCAGCGGGAAAAGGACAGCGACATTCGCGCTAAGCCTCACGTCTCCTACCGAATCAGTGTTGGGATGGGGAAGGGGAGAGCTTTGCACAGCCGCAAAAGTTGAAGGAAGCGGAGCCTGCTCTTCTCTGGCACCGCTCTCTGGGTCTCTCCACAGCCAAGCTAGAAAAGAAAAGGCGGAAGGAAAGCGGAGCTCCCTCCCCATAGCAGCACCAAGCGCTCAGCTCCGTCGTCCCCAAACCTGGAAAACAAACCAAGAAATGCCCCAAAGGCTCCGATCTATTTCGGCAAAATTTGTCCCATCGCGTAGACTTCTTCGTGGGAGACACATCGCAGAGCTTTCCCTTGACGGCTCAAATTAGGGTGGCCACCTCGTCTTCCCCTGAAAGGCTCCTCCACTTCAACGCATCTACACTGTAGAATGAGTGCGGTTTGACCCCACTTGTTCAGAGATGCTACAAGAGCACTTTGTGTACGGATGCAGACTAATATGTTTACCTCTTTGAACATAATAAACTACAATTTATCGTAGTTTGTAACACAAACAATCATAGTTTGTAATAAGTAGGTCTATTTCATCCGAATCATGAATCAAAGGTGCTATAAGATCACTTTGTGTATTGATCCAGACTAACTTGGTTACGTCTTTGAATATAATAAACCATCATTTATCATAGTTTGTAACAAAAACTATCACAGGGTTGTTGTAGGGGTTTTTTTGGGCTATATGGCCATGGTCTAGAGGCATTCTCTCCTGACGTTTTGCCTGCATCTATGGCAAGCATCCTCAAGAGGTCGTGAGGTCTTAGAACAGCACAACAACAGAGAGGAAACATACAAGGACATCTAATTACCTCTCAACAAAACATTGCTCCAGGCACTGCCAGGCCATCAAATGCTAATCAAGGTGGTCAGTTGAAACATTCACACCTAGCTCCAACAGATAAGAGTCCTTTGTCCCACCCTGGTCATTCCACAGATATATAAACCCTTTTTCCTAGTTCCAACAGACCTCACTACTTCTGAGGATGCTTGCCATAGGTGCAGGCGAAACGTCAGGAGAAAATGCCTTTAGAACATGGCCATATAGCCCGAAAAAACCTACAACAACTCAGTGATTCCAGCCATGAAAGCCTTCGACAATACAAAAACTATCATAGTTCGCAATGCAAACGATCATAGTTCATAACACAAACAATCTTAGTTTGTAATAGACCAGATTGATTTCATCCTAATCATGAATCAAGGATGCTCTAAGATCGCTTTGTATATTGATCCAGACTAACTTGGTTACGTCTTTGGATATAATAATGATTTATCATAGTTTGTAACACAAATGATCATCGTTGGGAACATAACTATCTTAGTTTGTAATAAACTAGATCTATTTCATCAAGGGTACTATAAGATTGTTTTGTATAGTGATCCAGTATTTGAATTTGAATACGGCAAACCATAGTTTATCCTAGTTTGTGCTCCAAACCAAGACAAATTATGTTTTGCCGTATTCAAATACGAGATCTCCTTCATCCAAATCATGGATCAAAGGTGTTGTAGGATCCTTTTGCGAATTTATGGAGTAGAAGCAACATGGTTATATGTATTGTCGAAGGCTTCCATGGCTGGAATCACTAGGTTGTTGTAGGTTTTTCGGACTATATGGCCATGTTCGAGAAGCATTCTCTCCTGACGTTTCATCTGCATCTATGGCAAGAATCCTCAGAGGATGCTTGCCATAGATGCAGGCGAAATGTCAGGAGAGAATGCTTATAGAACATGGCCATATAGCCCGAAAAACCTACAACAACCCAACATGGTTATATATTTGAATATAGTTAATCATAATTTAGCATAGATTGTACCACAAACAACGATAGATGAGATCTGCATCATCCAAATCATGGATCAAAGGTTCAACAAGAAGCTTTGCTAATAGTGTTGGCAGCTCACCAAACTACAACTCCCATGAGCACTGAGCCATGTTGGTTAAAGTGGTGTCAAACTGCATTAATCCTACACTGTAGATGCACCTCTGTCAAGCTCTTGACAAATTGTCTAGGAGTGACCGTGTCACATGAAGAACGAAGGAGTGACCCAATTTCCTTTACTTGTTTTGAGTCAAAGGTTCCCAGCATGGAGCCTCCTCGCATACGCAGCAACATCCCTTGCAGGCGGGCCCATGCAATGACAAGACAAGGATCGAGCGAGGAAAAGGGGTCCTCGTACCTCTGGATCAGAACGGCCGAATCATTTTCGCGCTTCCGTCTCTTCCTCTCCGCGTAGCCCCTGAATGCCCTGGGGAACCAGGTGCAAGGCATTAAAACCAAACTAGACCTTTTGGGGGATATGATATGATGGGAAAGAGGGGACAGAGGGGACAGAGAGGAGCTAAAACACCCGGACATGAATTGCTAGAGGAGAGGCAGAGACGCACGCCACGACGTAGAGCCACAAACAAAGTGCGGTGGAACAGCGAACAGAAGAGCCGACCGAATGCGGAAGGCTAGTTTGTTGGAGGAATGGGCACAAAGAGACCAAGAGTTGGCACAGTTGAAGAGTTTGGGGAAAGGAGATCAAGTTTTCTACAGACAAACCAAATCCCTACAGCTCTCTTGCTTTGATATTCAGGAGATAGGTCCTCCCCAACCATCACAACAGCAGCCAAAGATAGAAGAAACATAGATATGGTAACAGGATTTATGCAAGTCTAGGTGAAGAGTTTCTATTTTCTGAAGGCATCTAAGGAGACGTTGAGCACACATCTATCCAGGATGCTATGGTTATACTCTATGCTGTCGACACCATCCTAAGGTCTAGATTACAATTAGAAGTAAATTTTGATTATGGGTCTTTTTTTCTAGAGCAGTGGTTCTCAACCTGGGGTCCCCAGATGGTTTTGGCCTACAACTCCCAGAAATCCCAGCCAGTTTACCAGCTGTTAGGATTTCTGGGAGTTGAAGGCCAAAAACACCTGGGGACCCCAGGTTGAGAACCACTGCTCTAGAGTTATCTAATCAAACACCAATCTGCGATTATACTCTACACTGCTGACCCTATCCTGAGGTATTTCCTGTTTGGATATGTAGCATCCTCCTTGACCATCAAAATAGCAGCCAAAGATTGAAGAAACATAGATATAGTAACAGGATAGAAGCAAGTTTTGATGGTGGGTTTGTACTTCCTGGAGGCATCTAAGGAGACATTGGATACACATCTATCCAAGATGCTATTGTTATACTCTACGCTGTTGATACTGTCCTGAGGTTGAGGTTACAATTGAGAATAGAAGTAAATTTTGATAGTTTTGTATTTTCTGGAGGCATCTAAGGAGACGTTGGGCAGACATCTATCCAAGATGCTATTGTTATACTCTACACTGTTGATACTGTCCTGAGGTCGAGGTTACAATTGGGAATAAAAGTAAATTCTGATAGTTTTGTATTTTCTGGAGGCATCTAAGGAGATGTTCGGCAAACATCTATCCAGGATGCTATGGTTATACTCTACACTGTTGATACTGTCCTGAGGTCGAGGTTACAATTGGGAATAGAAGTAAATTTTTATAGCTTTGTATTTTCTGGAGGCATCTAAGGAGACGTTGGGCATACATCTATCCAGGATGTTATGGTTATACCCTATGCTGTCAACTCTGTCCTGAGATCAAGGTTACAATTGAGGATAGAAGTATATTTTGATAGTTTTGTATTTTCTGGAGGCATCTAAGGAGACGTTGGGCAAACATCTATCCAAGATGCTATGGTTATACTCTACGCTGTTGATACTGTCCTGAGGTTGAGGTTACAATTGGGAATAGAAGTAAATTTTGATGGTTTTGTATTTTCTGGAGGCATCTAAGGAGATGTTGGGCAGACGTCTATCCAGGATGTTACTGTTTACACTGTCGACACTGCCCTGAGGTTGAGGTTACAATTGGGCTAGAAGTAAATTTTGATAGTGGGTCATTTTTTCTGCAGGCATTTAAGCGGACGTTAGATAGACACCTATTTATGGTTATACTCTACACTGTTGGCCCCATCCTGAGGGTCTCTCCAGTTTGGATATGACAAGTCCTCCTCAATCATCACAATGGCAGCCAAAGAAAAAAGAAGCATAGATATAACAATGGGGTAGAAGTAAGTTTTGGTGGTGGTCCTTTATCGAAGTAGGCATCTAAGTAGACATTGGACAAGACACCTATCTGTAGTTATACTCTATGCTGAACCTCAAACTTATGCCCCGGACTCCTTTTCCCATTATCCCCAAGCAGCCAATAAATCGGTGGAAAAGTTGGGTTATATCTAAGATGGCGACGAACAACTTAGGACAGTTTTAGAGATACTTACGAGATGCTGGAGGTCCCAAAGAGAAGGAAAGAAGCCAGAGGAGAGAAAGAGAGAAGAACAAATTAGAAAACAAGAGACGCTCCCGACTCAGAAGAAAAAGCTCCGTGGATGCGTCAGCCTTTTACTTACGCTTGCATAGTTGTTGTGGCGGTTTGGAAAGTAAAGAGGTTTTCTTTGGGAAACCAGGTCCGGATGGGGACTTCGTCTGGAAAGGAGAAGGAAATATTGCAGATTCAAACTGCAGGAAAAAGAAATTCCATCTAAACATTAGGAAAAACTTCCTGGCAGTAAGAGCCATTCACCAGTGGAATGATGTCCTGCACGGAAAGTTGAGTGGAATCTCCTTTAAGTAGAGGATGGATGGCCATCTGTGGGGAGAGCTTAGATTGTGTCGCTGGTTATTAATATTTATTATTATTACTGGCATTTGTACCCCGTCTCTTCTCAACCCCTGAAGTGGGACTCAGGACGGGTTACATTAGTAACGATGCAAGACCGCTGCATCACAATTACAATAATATAACACAATCATTAAAACCAATACATATAACATTAATTAAAACAATAAAACAAAGTCACAATGTCATCTGCCGCAACGCCATTCCAGTCAATGCCCATTATGGTGCAAATTACGTCTGCTGCCCAAAGGCCTGGTCCCAAAGCCACGATTTTATTTTTTTTCTGAAGGCCAGGAGGGATGGAGTCGATCTTATATCATTTGGGAATGCATTCCATAGGCGGGGGGCCACAGCCGAGAAGGCCCAGTTTCTCATCCCCGCCAAACGCATTTGCGATGTTGACGGAAGCAAGAGCAGGGCCTGCACGGATGATCTTAGGTTGCGAGATGGGACGTAAAGGCAGATGCGTTCGGACAAGTACGCTGGGCCAGAACCGGGTTTTTAATGCTGAGGCATCTAAGTAGACATTGGATTCTATCTATGGTTATACTCCATTGGATGGACACCTATCTATGGTTATACTCCATGTTGACGATGCGGTCAGCGTGGTTAAATTTCATAGGGTTTTCTTAGGCGAGGAGGACCAGCTCCTTCCTCTGAAATGGGGCCTTTGACACCTAATATTCCCATCCAAGGACTAACCAGGGTTGACTCCACTTTGTTTCCAAGAGCAGATGGATTCTGGTGCCTTCAAGTCACCTACAACTGATGGCAACCCCATGAGTTTCTGGGGCAAGAAAGACTATATTTACTCGACTCTAATACACACCTCAATTTTCAGTGACACTGTGGTTGGATAAGGTTTTGAGCCTTCTCTGCCAACGAGTGCTCATGCCACACCAAACTACAAATCCCAGGATCCCATAGCATAGAGCCGTGGCCATTCAATGAGAGATGAGGTCCTTCAAATAGGAGCTGAAGGGGTTCCCGAAGCAGCTTCCCCTTTTGCTAGGATTACCATATTATGTGAATCGAATGCACAACCTAATTTTGGCGAGGCAATAGGGATGTGCAATTATTCGTAAGTCGGATCAAATTCATTCACTCCATGTCACTTATTTGAATCCCTAAATCTTCTTCCCATATCTTCTTGAGAATGTTGTTCTTTGTTTCTTTCCCCCCCTCTATTAATTTCAAGCTAAGCAATGACGTACCAGAGCCCCGATCAATGCTATACATCCTCTCCAGCTTCTTCCGACGCCAGCTTGTCTCTCCCGCTTGGTGGTGGTGGTGATGGTGGTGGTGGTGATGGTGATGATGCTCCGGGGACGTGTCGGCCAATGGGACGCAGCCAGGACACTCCTTGGGGCCGGTCCAGTCGCTTTTGCAGCTCCGGCCAATGTCGTGGGAGCTGCCTCCGTTCTGAGATTGGGAGCCGTGCTCGTCTCGCTCGTTGCCGTCCTCTCCATCAGCCGCCGCCTCTGTCACCGCTCCTTTGAGGACCACCAGCTCCATGCTCTCGCTCTGGTGCTGGGACAGCATGGGCCGCTCGCCGGAGATGGTGTAGACCCGGGGCTTGGGGCCGCCTTCGCCTGGCAGCTTCTCCCCGCCGTCCTCCGAAAAGCTCCGTTCAAACTTGCCGTCCGAAATGAGCGACAGCCGGCGCTTGTTCTGCGGAGCCGGAGGGAGCAGCTCGGGGGAGTCCTCTGGGCCCATGTAGGACTCCGCCAGCAAGTGGTCTGCAACACCAACACCACCCCGCTATAGTTATTACAGCAATATACAACAATATACAACAACAACAACAATATATAGCCTCCTTATCAAAAATTATTATTATAGATTTATTTGCACATAACATCACAGCACATATGTATTGTATTATATTGTATTATTATTACTATTATTGTATTGTATTATTATCACATGTACATGACAGCACAGCACACATGCACATTAGGTCCAAGTGCCTGGGGTTCGTCTCTGAATATTGGGCTCTTCCCAGGGGCCTAGGATATATTAGCAGTATTATATTACTATTATTATTATGGGTTGTGTTATTATTATTATTATTATTATTATTATTATTATTATTATTATATTTTATTATATATTATTAAATTTACATGTACATACATTTACATGTTATGTACATGTAAATATAATCATATTATTATTATTATATTTACATGTACATAACATGTAAATATAATAATAATAATATTATATTTACATGTACATAACATCATTATTATATTTACATGTACATAATATTGGGCTCTTCCCAGGGGCCTAGGTTATTAGCAGTATTAATATGGGTTGTTGAATTATTATAATATTATATTATATATTATTATACTTAGATGTACACATATTTACATGGCATGTACATGCAAATATAATAATATTATATTTACAGGTACATAAGAGTATTATTATATTTACATAATATTTACATAATATTGGGCTCTTCCCAGGGGCCTAGGATATTAGCGGTATTATTTGATTGCTATTTTTATTACTATTATTATTATTGATTGTATTATTATTATTATACTTACATGTACACAATATTGGGCCCTTCCAAGGGGGCTAAGATATTAGCAGTATTATAAGATTGCTATTATTATTACTATTATTATTATGGGTTGTATTATTATTATATTTACATGTACATAACACTATTAATATATTTACATGTACATAATATTGGGTTCTTCCCAGGGGCCTAGGATATTAGCAGTATTATTAGATTGCTAGTATTATTACCATTATAGGTTGTATTATTATTATATATTATTATTATATTTATATGTACATAACATTATTATTATATTTACATGTATACAATATTGGGCTTTTCCCAGGGGCCTAGGATATTAGTGATATTATTAGATAGCTATTATTATTATTATTATTATGGGTTGTATTTATTATTATATATTATTATTATATTTACATGTACATAATATTATTATTATATTTACATGTACATAACATTATTATTATATTTACATGCACACAATATTGGGCTTTTCCCAGGCGCCTAGGATATTAGTGGTATTATTAGATTGCTATTAATATTTCTATTATTATTATGGGTTGTATTACTATTATATACTATTATTATATTTACATGCACACAATATTGGGCTCTTCCCTGGGGCCTAGGATATTAGCAGCATTATTAGATTACTATTATTATTATTATTATTATGGGTTGGGTTATTATTATATATTATATATTATTATTATTATAATTATAATTATATTAACATCTACATAACAACACAGCACACATCTGCATCAGGTCCAAGTGCCTAGGGTTCGGCTCTGAATATTGGGCTCTTCCTTTGCCGCCTCCCTCTTACCTGAACCATTCTTGCCTTCGGGGTGGTTTTGGGACAAATAGTCTCCAAAGGCCCTTGCAGCGCTTTTGTTTGGACGGCAGATGGATGCAGACCATCAGAAGAGAGATAGAGAAAGAAAGACGGAAAGAAAGAAAGAGAGGAAAAAGAATGCAATTAATAACCACCACAATATGTTTGTAAAAATATCCAGTTCCCAAATGAACCCTCTGTTTGGCTTCCAAGATCAGATGGGATGCAGTGCAAACCTTCTTCTGCCTTCATGCAGGAAAAGCACAATCAAAGCCCTCCCGACAGATGGCCATCCCACCTATCATAGAATCATAGGATGCTAGAGTTGGAAGGGGCACCCAAAGGCCACCCAGTCCAACTCTCTTCTGTCTTAATGCAGGAAAACAACCATCCAAGCCCTCCCAACAGATGCCCATCCAGCCTCAGAGACATTAGCAGTATTATGGCAAAGTAGAGCTTTAGAATGATAGAGTTGGAAAGGAGCCTTAGAGGCCATCCAGTCTAGCCCCCTTCTGCCTTCATGCAGGAAAAGCACAATCAAAGCCCTCCCGACAGGCGAACATCCAGCCTACCATGGGACCTTTAAATCCTAGAGTAGGAAAGGGGCACTCAAAGGACATCTAGTCCAATCCACTTCTGCCTTCATGCAGGAAAAGCACAATCAACACCCTCCCGACAGATGGCCATCCAGCCTCATAGACATTAGAAGGTACATGGAGAAATAAAGCTGTAGAATGATAGAGTTGGAAGGGTCCCTTAGAGCACATCCAGTTCAATCTTTGGCATTCGTGCAGGAAAAACACAATCAAAGCCCTCCTGACAGATGGCCATCCAGCCTCATAGACATTAATAGGTATATGCCAAAATAAAGCTATGGAATGGTAAGAGTAGGAAGGATCCCTGAGAGGCCACCCAGTCCAATCTTCTTTGGCATTCATGCAGGAAGAGCACAATCAAAGCTCCCCCGACAGATGGCCATCCAGCCTCATAGACATTACTAGATATATGCCGAAATAAAGCTATAGAATGATAGAGTTGGAGGGCCCCCTTTAGAAGACATCCAGTCCAATCCTCTTTGGCATTCGTGGAGGAAAAGCACAATCAAAGCCCTCCCGACAGATGGCCATCCAACCTATCATGGAATCATAGAATCCTAGAGGGACACCCAATGGCCATCTAGTCGAACCTTCTTCTGCCATGATGCAGGAAAAGCACAATCAAAGCCCTCTTGACAGATGGCCATCCAGCCTATCATGGAATCATAGAATCCTAGAGGGATACCCAATGGCCATCAAAGCCCTTCCGACAATAGTTTGCAGCATTGGCATCGCTTTAAACACAACAAGCAGACCGGGCCAGGCTTTGCGGCCATTATGGGGATGTTTTTGGGCATGCACCGGCGCCTTTGCACATCTGCAACATCTTTACGACCACAGACGACGGCTGGCGGGAGAGAGATGGTGCGTCCTCGCAGCCGTAGAACAAGGCAGGGCAGAGCGGCACCGTATTGTATATAAGCTCCCATAAAGGGTAGATCGGCTCACCAGAATGAGACACAACCCGGGTCGATGGACAGAAAAGGAGGAAGGGGACTTGTATCACCAAACCCATGACCTTCACTGCCCTGATCTGGTCACCTGGAAAGCTCTCTAGTTTCCAAGACCGAAACCATCCCTCCAAGGGAGCCTCTAAAGGTAAAGGACAGGTTTCAAATTGACATTAAGCCTAGTCGTGTCCGACTCTGGGGGTTGGTGCTCTGGGGGTTGGTTGTCCATAGACACCTCCAAGGTGATGTGGCCTGCATGACTGCATGTTGCACCCTTACCTTCCCTCTATTGATCTACTCACATGTTTTCAAACTGCTAGGTTGACAGAAGCTGGGGCTAACAGCGGGAGCTCACTCTGCTCCCTGGATTCAAACTGTCATCCTTTCAGTCCGCAAGGAACCGAAAGGTTGGCACCTTACATTGTCCGTAGACGCCTCCAAAGTCACGTGGCCTGCATGACTGCATGGAGTGCCGTTACCTTCCCGCCGGAGCGGTGCCTATTGATCTACTCACATGTTTTCAAACTGTTAGGTTGGCAGAAGCTGGGGCTAACAGTGGGAGCTCACTCTGCTCCCTGCATTTGAACCATCATCCTTTCAGTCTGCAACATTATCTGTAGACACCTCCAAGACACCTCCAAGGTCATGTGGCCTGCATGACTGCATGGTGCACCCTTACCTTCCAGCTGCAGTGGTACCTATTGATCTACTCACATTTGCATGTTTTAACACTGCTAGGTTAGCAGAAGCTGGGGACAACAGTGGGAGCTTACTCCACTGCCCAGATTTGAACCGCCAACCTTTTGGTCAGCAAGGGAGCCTCTACACTACCCTATACTGACCTTACATTGTCCGTAGATGCCTCCAAAGTCACGTGGTCTGCATGACTGCATGGAGCGCCATTACTTTCCTGCTGGGGAGCTACCTATGGATCTACTCATATTTGCATGTTTTCGAACTGCTAGGTAGACAGAAGCTGGGGATAACAGCAGGAGTTTACTCCACTCCCCAGATTTGAACTGCCAACCTTTTGGTCAGCAAGAGAGCCTCTACACTACCCTATATTGACCTTACATTGTCCGTAGACGCCTCCAAAGTCACATGGCCTGCATGACTGCATGGAGCACCATTACCTTCCTGCTGGAATGGTATCTACTGATCTACTCAAACTTGCATGTTTTCGAACTGCTAGGTGGGCGGAAGCTGGGGCTAACAACAGGAGCTCACCCTGCTCCCTGGATTCGAACCACTGACCTTTCAGCCAGCAAGGGAGCCTCGACACTACCCTATACTGACCTTACATTGTCCGTAGACGCCTCCAAAGTCACGTGGCCTACTCCCAGAAATCCTAACAGCTGGTAAACTGGCTGGGATTTCTGGGAGTTGTAGGCCAAAAACATTGGGGGACCCCAGGTTGAGAACCACTGCTAGACCATGTTCTGACCATACATCCAGGGAACCACTGACCACATAGGGAAGCTGATGAAGGAACACAACATACAAACTATCTGCAGGAGTCTCCCATATACCAAGTCTACACAGAGACCACCAAATGCAAAAATGCCCAGACACGAATCAAGGAACATGAAAGGCACTGCAGACTAATCCAAACTGAAAAGTCAGCCATAGCAGAGCACCTGATCAACCAACCTGGACACAAAATATTATTTCAGAGCACAGAAATTCAATTTGAAGATATGAGTCGGGGTGAGCTCTCGGCTGTTAGCCCTAGCTTCTGCCTACCTAGCAGTTCGAAAGCAGGTAATGCGAGTTGATCAATAGGTGGGGAGGTATAAGGGTGCCCCATGCAGACAACACGATTGGAGAAGTCTATGGACAACACGCTCCTCAGAATGGGAAAATAGAACAAGAGCACCTCTTCCACCGAGGTTTAAAATGTCACACGTCGGTTTTCGGACAAATCGACCTACTTTCTCCATAGCGATTTAGTAGGGCAACGTCTGATGCAAGGAAACGGGTCTCTTCTGCAAACTATCTCTTGCTCCAAGCGGTGTGCGTGCGTCAAACGTCCCTCCAGAAGCAAAGTTGCTGAGAGACCAAACCCCATTCTCTCCAGGTTCGGATTCTCAGTCCCAAATGACTTGGCCCAGGGCTTCCCAAGACAGTTAATTAAAACTCAGTGTCTCGGCCTAGACCTTGGCAAACAACAGAATTGTGGCACCAATTTGCAGGCACCTGGTGATCCCGAAAAGCAGCCGAGGAGTTTTGAAACTGGATGGCCATCTGTCAGAAGGGCTTTAATGGTGCCTTCTTGCATGGCAGAATGGAGTTGGAATGGATGGCCTTTGGAGTTCTTTCTAATATATAATATATTATGATTAATTAATGAATTATTAATTTATTGTGTCAAAAGCAAATTGAGAATACAGTTATAATGTATAGAAAAACCACAAACAAGTGGTGTTCTTTATTTACTGTTATGATTCTGGTGTTTTTTAATACTGGTAACCAGTACAAGTCTCCATAGGGACCCCCAACTCAACTCAACTACACAGGGTCCCCTAGTTTTTGCATTTGGAAGCAAAGATGGTCTGAAATCGCTTTCTTCCAAGCAGGTTTCAGACAACAATAAAAGGACTTCATCTGGATTCTTTAGGGGAGTGGAAATTGATTGGAGCAGCCAGCCATGGTTTCGGAGACCCTCTCCCCTCCAAACCAACTGGCGAATTATTTCAGCCCTCATGTCAGCTGCTATTTCAGGCCGACCAGACTAAAAATACAGAAGCGCGCTCATAGGAGAGTCAAAGAGACAGAGTCCCAAGCCTGGAGAGATCAGGACCTGGTTTTGGGTTCCTTGCATAGCTGGAGGAATGAAAGGTCTGGAACAGAGCAAGAGACGCTGGCTTTAACTTGAAACAATCAGGTTTGGAGGGAAAAGCTCACACAGGTCTCCAAAGTGGCACCAGGACCATCTATAGAGAAAGGCCATCTAGTCCAACCTCATCCTGCCACACGGTAAGGCGCAATGCAAACACTCCTGACAGATGGCCATCGAACCTCTGCTTCAAAACCTCCAGGGAAAGAGACTCCAAGGACTCGAAACCAAACCCACTCTGAGGACTTCCCTGTTGTGAGCTGCTTTGAGTCTCCATATGGAGAGAAAAAGAGGGATAAAACAAACAAACAAACAAACAAACAAAAACAACAGCAACAACAGCAACAACAACAATAATTATAATAATCTGGGTGTCCTTTCTGGCAGGCCCAAACATTGTTCCCAGTTCCATCCCACCTGGAAGCCAGCACCAGGATGCAACTTTATTCCTAGAGCAGTTCTTCCTTGCTTGTGTGATTCCTTCCTTGCTTGCTTACTTTTTTCCTTCCTTGTTTGCTTCTTTCCTTCCTTTCTTTCTTGCTTCTTTCCTTCCTTGCTTCCTTCTTCCCTTGCTTGCTTCCATCTTTGGATTCTTCTTTCCTTGCACCCTTCTTTCTTCCCTTCCTTCCCTCCCTCCTTGTCTTGCATCCTTCTTTCTTTCTTTCCTTCCTTCCTTGCATCCTTCCCTCCTTCTTTCCTTCCTTGCACCCATCTTTCCTTGCTCCTTCCTTGCTTTCTTTCCTTCCATCCATCCTTCTTTCCTTCGTTCCTTGTTTTCATTCCTTCCATCCATCCTTCCTTCCTTGCTTCTTTCTTTCTTTCTTTCTTTCTTTCTTTCTTTCTTTCTTTCCTTCCTTCCATCCTTTCCTTCATTCCTTCCTTGCACCCATCTTTCCTTGCTTCCTTCCTTGCTTTCTTTCTTTCCTTCCATCCACCCTTTCCTTCCTTGCACCCATCTTTCCTTCCTTCCTTGTTTTCCTTCCTTCCATCCATCCTTCTTTCCTTGCTTCTTGCTTTCTTTCCTTCCTTCCATCCTTTCCTTCATTCCTTCCTTGCACCCATCTTTCCTTCCTTCCTTGCTTTCCTTCCTTACTTCCTTGCATCCTTCTTCCCTTGCTTTCCTTCCGTCCTTTCTTGCGTATTTCTTTCCTTCCATCCATCTTTCCTTGCTTCCTTCCTTCCTTGCTTCCTTCCTTGCTTTCCTTTCTTGCTTTCCTTCCTTGCTTTCCTTCCTTGCTTTCCTTCCTTCCTTCCTTCCTTCCATCCTTTCCTTCCTTGCTTGCTTCTTTCTTTCCTTCCTTGCATCCATCTTTCCTTCCATCCATCCTTCTTTCCTTGCACCCTTCCTTGTTTGTTCCCTTCCTTCCTTCCTTCCTTCCTTCCTTCCTTCCTTCCTTCCTTCCTTCCTTCCTTCCTTGCTTGCTTGCTTGCTTCTCACATCGCCTGACACAACATCTGCCCGCTGTTACCTTTCCACCCACCTGGCGCCCTTTGTGCACGCTCCTGCAGTGATGCCAGGCTGGGCCATGCTTTCCATGCCTCCTCCGCGATTATTCAAAGCATTCCCGACTCCCCTGGAGGAGTTCCAAACCCAAACAGACTCGCCACACCTTTCCCCCTTGGCTCCCGTTAGATGTACAGACACTCCTTTCTTGGGCGCACAGAGAAAACACCTAGGATCCTCCTAGGATCCTATGATTTCCCGTGCCCTCCTTTAGATGTGAGGCAGGTTGAGAGATGGGGGCCTGTCTCACTTCACCCCCAGCAATCCAAACTCTTACTAGTTTCCAAAGGAGCTCCAAACCCCATTGCCCTCCTTTTCCTTCGGCAACCTTTTTATGTATGCCTTTTTGCGCATAGACACTCCATTCTTTGGAGAGGAGGAATAGAAACCCACAGGCATCGTAGGACCCTTTTCTTTCCATGGGGGGAGATGGAGGGCCCACCTTGCGTGGCTTTAGCCACCACAACAGAGCCTTTCTCTCCTAGCTTCTTTTTAACGCAGAGACCCTCCAAGCTGTTCTTTGGCGCAAAGAGAAACCCAAACACACCCGATGACCTTTCTCTTGGGAAGGGATGGGTGCCCTCTTCGCCTGACTGTGGGCACCACGCTATTGTTGTTGCTGTATTGGTTTGTATCCCTCTTTTATTATCTGCGATTGAGATGCAAAGCCACAAACCACTGTCCTCTTCCTCCTCTAGCTCCATTCCTATGCACAGCTTCTAAAGCACAACTGCTTCATTGGGTTGCTGTGAGTTTTCTGGGCTGTATGGCCATGTTCCCGTAGCATTCTCTCCTGATGTTTCACCTGCATCTGTAGCAAACATCCTCAGAGGTCTGTGGGAATTCCAGACAGCTAACAATCAAGTTCCAGTTAAAGGTAAAGGTTTTCCCCTTGACATTAAGTCTAGTTGTGTCTGACTCTTGTGGGTGGTGTACATCTCCATTTGTAAGTCGAAGAGCCGGTGTTGTCCGTAGACGCCTCCTAGTTCATGTAGCCAGCATAACTGTATGGACTGCTGTTACCACCCTGTCAAAGCAGGACCTATTGATTTACTCACATTTGCATGTTTTTGAACTGCTAGGTTGGCAGAAGCTGGGGCTAACAGCGGGAGCCCACCCCACTCCCCAGATTCAAACCACTGACCTTTCGGTCAGCAAGTTCAGCAGCTCAGCACTTTTAGCTGCTGCGCCACTGGGGGCTCCCAAGTGCCAGTTAACACCTCCCAAACAAAGGATGCCCCCAGGCAACAACAGCCAGGCTTTGCAGCTGCAGGGATACTGCATTGCTAATCAAGGTGGCTAATTGCGACATTCTCACTTACTTCAAACAGACAAGAGTTCTTTCACCCTGGATATTAATCCACACATATATATACATACACACACACACATCTCACTTGCATCATTCCCATAGATCTCTGAAGAAACCTCTGAGGATGCCATTAGCCACAGATGCAGGTGAAACATCAGGAGAAAATGATGTTGGAACATGGCCAAACAGCCTGAAAAAATCACAGCGACCCAGTGATTCCAGCCATGAAAGTCTTCGATAACAAACCTCACAACCCCTGAGGATGCCTGCCATAGATGTGGGCAAAATGTCAGGAGAGAATGCTGCTGGAGCATGGTCATACAGCCTGGAAAACTCACAGCAACCCAGTGATTCTGGCCATAAAGCCTTTAACAACACAACTGCTCCATTCTTTGGCACAAAGAGAAACAGGAGGAAGAACAGGAGGAGGAAGAGAAAGGGGAAGAGAAGAAGAGGAAGAGAAAGAAGAGAAGAAAGAGGAAGAACGGGAGGAAGAGGAAGAACAAGAGGAGGAAGAGAAGAAGTGGAAGAGGAGGAGGATGAAGAGGAAGAACAAGAGGAAGAGAAAGAAAAAGAGGAAGAGGAAGAGAAGAGGAGGAAGAGAAAAGGAGGAGGAAGAGGAAGAAGAGTAGGAGGAGGGGAAAGAGGAAGAGAAGAGGAGGAGGAGGTGCAAGAGGAAGAAGACGAGGAGGAAGAGAAAGAGGAAGAAGAAGAGGAAGAAGAAGAGAAAGAGGAAGAAGAGGAGGATGAAGAGGAAGAGGAAGAAGAGGAGGAGGAGGAGGAGAGGAGGTGCAAGAGGAAGAAGACAAGGAGGAAGAGAAAGAAGAAGAAGAGGAGGATGAAGAGGAAGAAGAGAAAGAGGAAGAAGAGGAGGAGGAAGAGAAAGAAGAAGAAGAGGAGGGTAAAGAGGAAGAAGAAGAGAAAGAGGAAGAAGAGGAGGAGGAAGAGAAAGAGGAAGAGAAGAGGAGGTGTAAGAGGAAAAAGACGAGGAAGAGAAAGAAGAGGAGGAGGAGGAGGAGGAGGAGGAGGAAGAGAAAGAGGAGGAAGAGAAAAGGAGAGGAGGAGGAGAGGAGGTGCAAGAGGAAGAAGACGAGGAGGAAGAGGAAGAAGAGGAGGAGGAAGAAGAAGAGGAGAAAAAGGAAAAGGAGAAAGAGGAAGAAGAGGGGGGAGGAATAAGGCCCTTCCTGACCTGGCTTTGCCCACCACAGCCATTGCCTTTCTCGCTTGCCTCCCTTTTCGCACGGATTTTTTCGCGCAGCGGATGCATCCTCTGCCTGCAGAAAGCAACCCAAATGTCTCCAAACAACCCTCCTTTTGCCCTTTCCTCTTTTTTTCCCAGCCCTGGAGTGTTTGGGAAGGTTGGACCTGCGGCCTCTCCTGACCCTCAAGTCCCAGTCGTGACTGGAACCAAACCCAAGCAGAGATCGGGCGCACCATCGCCCTCTTTCCTCCTTCTCCCCTTCGCCCTTCTTTGAGGCAGGGCTTTCTACGCCCAGCTGCTCCGACATTGGCAGAGGGAGGCACCCCAAAGGCACCCGGGGACCTCTCCTTTCGTCTCGGGGAGGGATTTGGGGTCTGCTCCAACTGGCTTTCGCCCCCAAGCCATTGCTTTGCTCCTTTTTACGCACGAAGCTTTTACGCACGACTCTTCTGCGCACAGCTGCTCCCTTCTTTGGCGCAGGAAAGGGACCCAAAGGCACCCAGAGGGAGACCTCTTTCTCCAGCTCTTTTTTATAGGAAGGGGGGAGAGGTTTGGGTGCCAAGAGCTGGCCTCTCCCAACCCACCCCCTTCTCCCCTTCCCCCCAATCCCAAAACATCCTTGGAGCTTTTCCTCGCCCTCTCCAAGGAGATCCAACCCCAAACAGACCTGAAACGCGCCACTGTTTCTCTTTTTACGCACGGCTTTGGGCGCCCTTCTCTCGGCCCAAAGAGACCCCCCTTGGCCCCCCACCTCTCCAGGAATCCCAGGGAGGCTTCTCCTCGCCCTGGGGGAGGGCCCAAGGACCCCTCCTCACCGGACTTTGGCTGCCACCGAGGCCACGGCTTCGTTGCGGAGCGAGCGGCGCTTGGAGACGGCGGTGCCCATGGTCTCCAAAAAGGGGCTTCATCATCCGCCCATGCCGCCCCTTCCTGGGGCCTGGGGGAGAAGGGGAGGGGGTCCAAGGGGGGCTCTCCTCCTCCTCCTCTCCTCCTCCTCCTCCTCCTCCTCCGGCTCTGGGCTCCAAGTCAGCCCCGCAGCATCATCATCACCATCATCATCCTCATCGCCTCCTCCTCCTTCTTCCACTCCAAAGCAGAGTGGCGCTGGAGAGGCGAAAGAGGAGGAGGAGGAGGAGCCGGCTTTGGCCGCCCATTGACTGCAGCTCCCAAGAGGTGGAGCCTAGGAACCCAGCCCCCCTCCCCCTCCCCCCACAATCCCTATATTTGGGGAGAGCAAGACACCCCACTCAATGCCATCCCTTCCCCCAAAGGATAGGAGTTACTCTCCTCTTTCTTCTTCTCCAAAGGGCCTCCCAACCTCTGAGGATGCCTGCCACAGATGCAGGCAAAACATCAGGAGAGAATGCTTCTGGAACATGGCCAGACAGCCTGGAAAATTCACACCAACCCAACAAAGGATTCCCCCAGGCAGTAAGAAGCCACCAATAAAACTGTCAGGAGAGAATGCTTCTGAAACATGGCCAGACAGCCTGGAAAACTCACACCAACCCAACAAAGGATTCTCCCAGGCAGTAAGACGCCACAAATGAAACTGTCAGGAAAGAATGCTTCTGGAACATGGCCAGACAGCCTGGAAAACTCACAACAACCCAACAAAGGATTCCTCCAGGCAGTAAGACGCCACCAATGAAACTCTCAGGAGATAATGCTTCTGGAACAGTGCCAGACAGCCTGGAAAACTCACACCAACCCAACAAAGGATTCCCCCAGGCGGTAAGACACCACTCATGAAACTGTGAGGAGAGAATGCTTCTGGAACATGGCCAAACAGCCTGGTAAACTCACACCAACCCAACAAAGGATTCTCCCAGGCAGTAAGACGCCACAAATGAAACCATCAGGAGAGAATGCTTCTGGAACATGGCCAGACAACCTGGAAAACTCACAATAACCCAACAAAGGATTCCCCCAGGCAGTAAGACGCCACTCATGAAACTGTGAGGAGAGAATGCTTCTGGAACATGGCCAGAAAACCTGGAAAACTCACAACAACTCAACAAAGGATTCTCCCAGGTAGTAAGATGCCACAAATGAAACTGTCAGGAGAGAATGCTTCTGGAACAGGGCCAGAAAGCCTGGAAAACTCAGACCAACCCAACAAAGGATTCCCCCAGGCAATAAGACGCCACTCATGAAACTGTCAGGAGAGAATGCTTCTGGAACATGGCCAGACAACCTGGAAAACTCACAACAACTCAGCAAAGGATTCCTCCAGGATTTGAAGAGGCACGAATGGAGGGCGAAAGAGAGAAATGTGCCAAGAGGAAAGCACGTCAAGCCAACCCCAACCAGGACCGCCTTCCACCTGGAAACCAATGCCCTCACTGCGGGAGAAGATGCTGGTCAAGAATAGGGCTCCACAGTCACCTATGGACCCACCCTGGAAGACTATCCTACTCGGACAACGAGGGATTGCCTAAGTAAGTAAAGTAAGTAAGTAAGTAAGTAAGTAAGAGTGTAAAGAGGCCGGATTAAGACTTTTCAAGGCCCTCAGCACAAAAATGTCGCCCTCCCACCATCTAAATCAACATATCAACAAAACAAACAAACTTTCCTTGTTGCTGGTATAGAAAACTTACTGTAAAATGAAAGACGCTCCACTCCAAATGCCATCTTTAGTAATGTTATGAGCTTCACCTGTGGGTGACTCACCTGTTTTGGATTAAGACTCTGCCCAATGGAAATACAGGTGGCTCATCAGGCCAAGTCGTACAACATAGACTTATGGGAACTTTAGGAATTGTGGGAGTTGAAGTCCAAAACACCAGGAGGGCCAAAGTTTGCCCATGCCTGATCTAGGCTCATGGAAACCTCACACTCTTTGGCAGGGAAGGCAACAGATCTTGGAGAACTACAACTCCCAGGGTCCAATAGCCCTGAGCTTAACTACATTAACTCTACAGTGTAGCTGCGCCCATTATCATAGGATCGGAGTTGGAAAGGAACCCCAAAGGTCATCTAGCTCACCTCCATTTGTGCCAGGCAAAAAGATATGATGCAATCCCTCCCATAAGATGGTCATCTAGCCTCCATAGAATCATAGAAGGGAAATTCGGCCCCTTTCTACCAAGAAAGACACCAACTAATCCCTCCCGACAGATAGCCGTCCAGCCTGTTTGTTTTTTTTAAAGGAGACTCCACTGGACTCCCAGGAAGAAGATTCCTGTATTTATGAATTTGGCACCAAAACAGACAAGGGTTCTTTCTTTCTCCCACCCTGGGCATTATTCCACACTCCCTATACCTGTGGATCTGGGCGGGAGGCAGACTGCGTCGGATAATACAGAACATTGGAAAAGCGAAGGTTGGATAAGCGAGACTCTACTGTAATAATAATAATAGTAATAATAATAATAATAGGCCCTGCCCAGAAAAATCTTTTGTGTTTTAATGTCTGATTTTATATTGTGTTGCAATTATATTGTTTTGTATTTTAATGTATTTTATTTTTTGGTTTTATTATGTTCCTGTGTTATATTGTTGTGTATTGTACTGATGGGCGTGGCCTCATGTAAGCTGCACCGAGTCCCCTTGGGAAAGATGTAGCAGGGTATAAATAAAGTAGTATTATTATTATTATTATTATTATTATTATTATTATTATTATCTTTATTTATACCCTGCCACCACCTCCCCAATGGGGACTCAGGCTAACATGAGGCCAAGCCCTTCTACAAATACAATCCAACACAGTAAATTCCAAATACAAGAACAAATACATCAAAAAATTAAATAAAATATACATTAAGCCAGTGTTTCTCAACCTTCCTGATGCTGCGACTCCTTAATACAGTTCCTCATGTTGTGCTGACTCCCAACCATAATATTATTTTCGTTTGCTACTGATATTATAATTATATATTTTATATTACATGTAACATTACTAATAATATTACAATATAATGGTATAATACAATATAGTAATATTTAATACTGATGTTGTACTATGCTAATAATATAATATATTGTATGTATATATATCTTGTAAGCTGCTCTGAGTTCCCTTCGGGGTGACAAGGGCGGCATATTAATATTGTAAATAAATAAATAAATAAATATCTAGCAGTATTTTCATTCACTGGACCAAATTTGGCACAAATACCCGATATGCCCACATTTGAATAATGGTGGGGTTGGATTGATTTTGTCATTTGGGAGGTGTAGTTGCTGGGTTTTATAGTTCACCCTAAATCAAAGAGCATTCTGAACTCCACCAATGATGGAATGAACCAAACTTGGCACACAGAACTCCCATGTTTGGTTTGGTGGGCATTGACCTTGAGTTGGAGTTGTAGTTCACCTACATCCAGAGAGCACTGTGGACTCAAACAATGATGGATCTGTACCAAACTTGGCACAAATATTCCATATGCCCAAATATGAACACAGATGGAGTTTGGGGGAAATAGACCTTCATTTGGGAGTTGTAGTTGCTGGGATTGATCGTTCACCTACAATCAAAGAGCATTCTGAACTCCACCATGATGGAATTGAACCAAACTTGGCACACATAACTCCCACGACCAAGATAAAATACTGGAAAGGTTTGGTGGGCATTGACCTTGAGGTTGGAGTTGTAGTTCACCTACATCCAGAGAGCACTGTGGACTCAAACAATGATGGATCTGGACCAACTTGGCACAAATACTCAATATGCCCAAATGTGAACACTGGTGGATTTGGAGAAAACAGACTTTGATATTTGGGAGTTGTAGTTGCTGGGATTTATAGTTCACCTACAAAATACTATGTATTTTGTAGGTGAACCCCCCTAGGACTCCCGACCCCCAGGTTGAGAAACGCTGCATTAAGCCATTCTTTACTTATAGTGACCCTAATGAAGTTGTTTTCTGGGCAAGGCTTGTTCAGAGGAAGTTGGCCATTGCCACCCTTTTGAGGCTGAGAGAGTGTGACTTGCCCAATAGGTTTCCATAGTTTAGGAAGGATTCAAACCCTAGTCCAATGGGCCAAACATGGCTGGGGATAAATGTTCAGGGATTTGCAACGGAGAAGCCTTTCTTTTGAGTTTGCAAACGGCTCAGGTTTAGCACATCCTTGTTTTTTATCCCTGAATGAGGCAAAGGAATAGAGCCAGGAGGACGTTTGAGTCCAACCGAGCAGCCTTGAATTCCCCGCAACATTAAGAAGCCGCCCAATGAAATTAGGGAAGGATAATGGGCCCTAAACTCTCATCTTGCCTTGATGGATCTCCTCCAGAATCTATCAAGACGAGAAGATCACGCCCAAGTTTAATGACTGCGCCAAAGATTATTAATTGCATGCTGCTTGAAAGAACAAAAGGCAATTAAACAGGGGCGGCGCGTGTCAATTCGACGCGTTGGGCTCAGAAGAAACCCAAACCGATTGCCGGAGGAGTTGAATTTATCCTATTAGGGAGGCAAACAAGTATGCTAGCGGTAAAGCAAATTAGCTGTACTGTGGATATTTCTATGCTATTAGAATGACTTCCGCAAATTCAAATTTAGGTTGTAAGGCCCTTGAGGGCAAACTTTGACCCTCCAGGTGTCTTGGACTTCGACTCCCACAATTCCTAACAACCGATGACTTGTGGCATGTTAAACCCATCGAGTTGGAAAAGGCCTCCAGAGGCTATCCAGTCCAACTCCATCCTGCCATAAAGGAAAACACAGTCAAAGTAGTCCCGACAGATGACCATCCAGTCTGTGTTATCGAAGGATTCATGGCCAGAATCATTGGGTGGCTGTGAATTCTGATCAACACAATTCCAAGGAGGATATTGACAAATTGAGCATGAGCCAACAGTGTGAAGCTGTGGCTTAAAAAGCCAATGCAATTCTAGGCTGGACCAATAGAAGTTCAATGTTTACATCAGGCATGGGCAAACTTTGGCCCTCCAGGTGTCTTGGACTTCAACTCCCACAATTCTTAACTGCCTACTACAGCTTCTAGAAGCCCCCACCCATCCTGCATCATCATCATCATCATCATCATCATCATCGAATACAAACGGAAAGGGAGAGGTATGAGGGGCGTTCATTAAAGATTTCCCCCTAACCCACTGCACATGTGGAATGATATAAATCTCTATAGGTTACATGCCAATTTACAACTCAGAATTGATAATGGTCTTGATTTTACAGGTGCTGAAGTGGTGTGAGGTTTGAGAATGGACCCAGTGGAACTCAGAGCAGTCCTCAAGTTCCTTTACTCAAAAGTCCGCACACCAAAGGAGATGTTCAATGAGATGGAAGAGGTTTATGGGGAGGATTCCCCATCAGATGATCGAGTCACGAACTGGCATCGTCCATTCCAATGTGGTGGGACTTTGGTGCAAACAGTTCCAATTCCAGGGTGACCCCACTCTGCTTTTGATGGACACACCATCCAGCAAGCGGAGATTGCCATTTTGGAAATCGTCTTGTGACCATTCTCCACCTAACCCAAAATGTCAAGATGAGTGTGGGGTCCATGGAAAAAATCACCCAAGACCATTTTCCCATGCATAAGGTATCCGCTCCCTGGGTCCCCTGGCTGCTCACACCTTTCCAGAAGCTGGAACGAGTCAAATGCTCTCAGGATCTCTTGACATGTGCCATGGAAACCAGGAGGACTTTCTTCACAGACTGATCACACAGGAGGAAAGCTGGGTCCATCATTCTGATCCTGAGACTAAAGTTTAGTCGATGCCATGGAAGCATCCTGACTCACCACCTCCAAAGAAGGCACATGCCCAACTCTCGGCAGGCAAGGTCACGCTCATAGTATTTTGGGACCAGCACGGAGTAGGATGGATGGATTTCCTAGCAAAGGGGACCATGATCACTGGGGCAGATGAGGCTTTGCTTCTGTGGAAATTGCGGGAGACCATCCAAACCAAGAGACAATGTGGTATGCTCATCAAAAGTGTCTGCCTTCTGCAAGTCAATGAACCCGTTCACAACTTACCTGTTGCCCAAATGGAGGAAGCATGCGCCTGTGCCTTTGAAATCCTCCCACATCCCCGATTAACCCTACCTCGCTCCATCGGACTTACACCTCTTTCCAACAAGGAAGTTATTTTTGAAGGACAAGCCTCTCTCAGGTGATGAGACTCTGATTTCCAAAGTCACAACATGGCTTTTGGAGCAACCTGTCAACTTCTCCAAGCGAGGTGTTTACAGTGGCTTAAAAAGATGGGAGAAATGTGTGTCCCTCGGTGGTACCCATGGAGAGAAGGACTCAGAAGTGGACCAAGTTGCATTGCTCTCCATCCACAGGAAGAGGGTCAGGGGAAATCTTTAATGAACACCCCTCGTATATTGAACTCCATGGTTTCGCACCGAGGCGGCATTGGGGGCTGTGTGGTGGTGGTTGGGGTGAGGACGGATGGGTGTGTTGTTTTGTGGTGTGTGCAGGGGAAGGGGTGTAATTTCGTTGTGCAACAGCACAACGACAAATAAAACTATTCTATTCTGCTTTGGACAAGCTTCACTTGGAATAATATTATGTCCAATTTCACTTGGAATAATATTATGTCCAATTCGAGAAGGATATTCACAAACGGGAAGGTGGCCAAATGGTCCAAGGTCTGGAAGATCCATTGAGTGGCTTCAGGAGTTCTCAAAGCGGCTCCAACCTTCTAAGCAATTTAGAACTTATCACATATAAATATTAAAACAAAATCAAACACACCAACTCATTATAAATGGCTGAAACGTTATCTTCTTTGGCAAGCCCAAATAGCCACGCTGTCCATGTTCATGCTGCCGTCGGTCTTTATGGCACTGCCGAACAGACTTGTCTTTTCTTCACACCGTGAAAGAGCAAAGCACTCGACGATCAAGACTGGACGTCTCAGCACTGAGATCACGCCGCTGTCAGGCAAAGGGAACATTGTGCGGGGTTGTGTTTGTCTCTGAGAAATGTGAGACTTGAAAAAGAGACGGTCGATGTGTAGGCATTCGGAGACGGGATTCAAAACCTGACATTTCCCAACAGATGGACTTGGGTTTGCTTTGCCATTCGCGTTGAAGATGAAAAGGAGAAAAAGAAATGCCAAACTTTTTTGAAGTCAAGGCTGGCTTATGTGGAAATTCCATCTTTCTCAATTTCATGGAATCATAGAGTTGGAAGAGACCTCTCCATCCAGTCCAAGAAGAAGGAAATCACATTCAAAGCACTCCTGACAGATGCCCATCCAGCCGGTTTCAAAGCCTCCACCACACTCCGAGGAAGAGAGTTCCACTGCTGAATGGCTCTCACAGTGAGGAAGTTCTTCCTAATGTTCAGGTGGAATCTCCTTTCTTTCCTGTAGTTTGAAGCCATTTTTCCATTACATCCTAGTCTCCAGGGCAGCAGAAAACAAGTTTACTCCCTCCTCCCTAGGACTTCCCTCACATCTTGATACATGGCCCTCATCATGTCTCCTCTCAACCTTCTCTTCTGCAGGCTAAACATGCCCAGCTCTTTTAGCCACTCCTCACAGGGGTTGTCCTCCAGACTTTTGATCAATTTGAGTCGGCCTCCCCTTGTCAACCATTGCAATGCCCTAAATTGTGTCAAGGAATGTAAAAATCAGTTGGTGTGTGTTAACTGAAAAATGCAAAGCACAAAGCCGATTGGTTGGGCTACACCTGGGGAGCTAGCTGAGCCTGGGAATTTTGGCAACAGTTACATATCTAGGCTGTGCTGCACAGGAGCTTGCAGAGAGAGAGAGAGAGAGAGAGAGAAAGAGAGAGAGAGAGTTTTGAGTTCTTGCTTCATGAGCTGCTGGAAGGAGATGTTTCACATGGACACCCAAAGACCATCTGAATCTCTCTCAAAGGACATTGTGTGAGTCAATGCAACTGTTCACATGACTGTATATATGTTGTGCTGCATTCCAAAGAGTAAACTTCTTGTTCAGTTCTTGTGGTTTTTTCGGGCTATATGGCCATGTTCTAGAGGCATTTCTCCTGACGTTTCGCCTGCATCTATGTTCTTTACTGATCATCTGTGTGGCATATTTTCTTTCTCTGGCAAGACTGTGTGTGGACTGGTAAAAACATGAACTACCCATGATTTTCATTCCGCCACAAATTAAACACAGTGTGATTCCAGATGTGATCTGACCAAGGCGGAATAGAGTGGTAGCATGACTTCCCTGGATCCAGATCAGGCATGGGCAAACTTTGGCCCTCCAGGTTTTGGACTTCAACTCCCACAATTCCTAACAGCTTGTAGGAATCCCCTCCAGTACGTTCAGTTGGTCATGGGAGTTCTGTGTGCCAAGTTTGGTCCAGACCAATCATTGTCAATAGTCAGTGTTTCTGGATGTCAGTGAACTACAACTCCCAGAAATGAAGCTCAGTTCCCCCCAAATCCCTCCAGTATATTCCGTTGGTCATGGGGGTTCTGTGTGCCAAGTTTGATCCAGGTCCATCGTCAGTTCGGTTCACAGTTTCTCTGGTTGTAGGTGAACTACAACTCCTAGAAATCAAGATCAGTGGCCCAAAGCTAGTGTCGTCCTGAGGAGAGTGGGGCACACCTCTGTGTGAGAGAAGCCTTGTGTGAGAAAGCTCCAGTATGAAGGCTGCTGCATGCAAAGCTACTAGGTATTTGTTTGTGTTATGGAAACCTTGTTGATGTAAATAGTGCAACCATATTATTTGACTTATGGAAGAGATCACATTGGTCTGTGTGTTTTTGTTCTGTGTGTTTTGATCACTTTGGGTTACTGGTGCTGGGTCACGCTGATAAGTTACTCTGCTGTACATTTATGAGGAGGGTCTTTTGTTAAGAAGCCCACTCGCCCAACACGTTTTACGCAAGGGTCTTTCATGTTTGGTGTCTAGATTTTATTGTTTTCCACAATAACACCGGGGAACGGATGACCCAGATCTGTAAGACCCATGAGGACTTGCGAAAGCAAAAACAACACAAACCGCTGGGGTCTCAAAAGAGTTTTGGAAAGCGGAGACTTCAATCCAATAATGTCCTTTCTGTCGGTGGGTGATTCAACTGTTGCCGTCACCGTCGAGTCGCCTCCCGACAGATGGTTCCGTTATCACACGCTCCCTCTGATGCCGGCACAGAACATCCCAATGCGTGTATATGTTAACATTCAAGCTTCCTGCTCCGTGCCGGCGGAACCTTTCATTCCCAGTTGTGGATGTCAACAGACGAGGAAAATAAACTCAGAGAGGCAGAGCTAGGGTGCCAAAAACCAACCGCCCCCAAATTCATTGACAGACACAAAGACATACGATAACAACTTTGTTCTCTTACTCAGCGAGTAAAGAGCAATGTGTGCTATGAACCCCTTGCTTTTGGGAAATAAGAATCCGCTCGAGATGAGATGCATTGCAAAAGATTTTGGGGAATTGCAACCCAAGGGATGGCATGATTCGAGAGAGAGTTTTCACTTCATCTGTAGGTGCAAAACTGTGAGAGGTTGGGAGTTGTATTAACACCCCAAGGAAAGCTGGGATACGTATCAGCGCCCCAAAGAAAGCTGGAAATTGCGTTAGCACTCCAAGGAAAGCTGGGAGATTCATTAACCTGTCAGTATGTAATGTTATCTAAAGTGAAAATTGCTGATGTGATTTCAGAAATGCACGAGTTAATACACAGAGATGTGTAGTATTGGTAGAGTGTCACTTTTGGAGGATCCTATGCAGGCTGGAAAAGAAAGACTGGTAAGAAAGGAATGTGCTTCTTGCAGCGTGTCTGAGAAGTGAGCGGAAAGGATTGATGATTCCCTTGTATACATATATTGTAAAATTAAGTGCCGTTTTCCGGTGAAAGCTGAATCGAAGGAGTCCGGTGTTTTTATCACTTTGTGCCTTCCAGGAAGAAATTGGGAAGGTCGAAGCACTGAGATAAGGAAGGTGATTTACCAACAAGGGTTATGGGCCCAGCACGCTTCCATTCCAAGTAAAGCTGGGAGATGCATTGGCACACTAAGAAAATCTGAGATATGTATTAACACTCCAAGGAAATCTGGGAGATACATTAGCACCCTAAGAAAAGCTGGGAGATGTATTGACCCTCCAAGGAAAGCTGGGAGATGTATTAGCATCCCAAGTTGTATTAGCACCCCAAAGAAAGCTGGGAGATGGATTTCAATTTACCAACAAGGGATATGGGCCCAGCACGCTTCCACTCCAAGGAAAGCTGGGAGATGCATTGGCACCCTAAGAAAAGCCGAGAGATGTATTAGCACTCCAAGGAGATACAATAGCACCTTAAGAAAATCTGGGAGATGTCTTGACCCTCTGAGGAAACCTGGGAGATGTATTAATACTCCAAGGAGATACATTAGCCCCCTAAGAAAATCTTGGAGATATCTTAACCCTCTGAGGAAAGCTGGGGGATGGATTAACCCTCCAAGGAAAGTTGGGAGATGTATTAGCACCCTAAGAAAAGCCGAGACATGTATTAGCATCCCAAGTTGTATTAGCACCCCAAGGAAAGCTGGGAGATGGATTTCAATTTACCAACAAGGGTTATGGGCCCAGCACGCTTCCACTCCAAGGAAAGCTGGGAGATGCATTGGCACCCTAAGAAAAGCCGAGAGATGTATTAGCACTCCAAGGAAAGCCAAGAGATGTATTAACACTCCAAGGAAAGTTGGGAGATGTACTAACACTCCAAGGAGATACATTAGCACCCTAAGAAAATCTGGGAGATGTATTGACCCTCTGAGGAAAGCTAGGAGATGGATTAGCCCTCCAAGGAAAATTGGCAGATGTATTAGTGCTCCAAGGAAAGCTGAGAGATGTATTAACACTCCAAGTAAAATTGGGAATACATTAGAAAAGCTGAGAGATGTATTAGCACCCTTTTAAAAACCCTGTAGTTTTATTAGCACCCTAGAAAATCTCAAGGGGATTCATCCTTCCACCCCATTGCAAAAAAACGCTTCAAAATTTTGCTTTGGGGGCATTTCTGCCATGCTTCTCAGTCCTTCTAAGCCATTTTAACAATAAGTAACCATAAGTCACTCCTGGGTCACTCCCAGTTTAAAGAAAAGGCCTTCCTTAGACCTAAAAGCGGTCTAGAGATGGATGAATTCATAGAGGGGGAATATTTTTGACCCCTGGGAGGTTCTGGGAACCACAAAAAAAAAAAACCCCTCCAAAAAAATCCCAACCAATACAAAAATGGCTCCCGGGAGCCGTCTGATGCTTGTAGACGCCATCGTCTCAACTCGTTTGCTCCTTCCTGCCATCCCTGGCTTTAGGCGATAAGAAAGGAAAAGACACGGCTGCGTCTCGAGACCAGTGAAGATTGTAATGGCAGGGATGCACAAGGGCGCATGGATGACCAACCGTTGCAGAGTCCCAAAGCTGTTTTGTGCGGCTCCGTCATGCCGTTTGCTCACTGTCCTGGTTGTTGGCGACGGCATGCTTCCGGAGCCGGACCTCTGGATCCTGCTGGGAGCAAGAAGGGAGACAAGAGGTATCGCTCAGAGACAGGCCTTGAGCATAAGAAGAATACACTCAACTGTGTTGTCCAAGGCTTTCATGGCCGGAATCAATGGGTTGCTGTGAGTTTTCTGGGCTGGCTGCCCAAGTTCCAGAAGCATTCTCTCCTAACGTTTCACCCACATCTATGGCAGGCATCCTCAAAGGTTGTGAGGTCTGTTGGGAACTAGGCAAGAGGGGTTGATATAGCTGTGGAATGTATGGCCATGTTCCAGCAGCATTCTCTCCTGACGCTTCACCCACATCTACATCAGGCATCCTCAGAGGTTGTGAGTTCTGTTAGAAACTAGGCAAGTGAGGTTTACATACCTGTGGAATAATGTCCAGGGTGGGAGAAAGAACTCTTGTCTGCTTGAGGCAAGTGTGAATGTTGCAATTGGCCAGCTTAATTAGCATTGAATAACCTTGCAGCATCAAAGCCTGGCTGCTTCCTGCCTGGGGGAATCCTTCGTTGGGATGTGCTAGCTGACCCTGATTCATTCTTGTCTGGAATTCCTTTTTTTTTTTAAGTTTTGTTCTTTATTTACTCTCCTGATTTTTGAGTGGAACAGTGGTTACAGCATCAAAGCCTGGCTGCTTCCTGCCTGGGAGAATCCTTTGTTGGGACATGCTAGCTGACCCTGATTGATTCTTGTCTGGAATTCCCTTGATTTTTTTAAAAAAATTGTTCTTTATTTTCCTGATTTTTGAGTGGCACAGTGGGTTAAGCCGCTGAGTTGCTGAACTTGCTGACCAAAAAGTTGCTGGTTCAAATCCAGGGAGAGGGGTGAGCTCCCGCTGTTAGCCCCAGCTTCTGCCAACCTAGCAGTTCGAAAACACGCAAATGTGAGTAGAGCAATGCATACTGCTCTGGAGGAAAGGGAACGGCGCCGGCCACATGACCTTGGAGGTGTCTACGGACAATGCCAGCTCTTCAGTTTAGAAATGGAGATGAGCACCAACCCCCCAGCGTCAAACATGACTGGATTTAATGTCAGGGGATACATTTACCTTTATTCCAGACAAGAATCAATCAGGGACAGTGGACACCTTCCAACAAAGGATTCCCCTAGGCAGGAAGCAGCCAGGCGTTGAAGCTGCAAGGCTATTCAGTGCTAATCAAGGTGGCCAATTGCAACATTCATGCTTGCCTCCAGCAGACAAGAGTTCTTTCTCCCACTTTGGACATCATTCCACAGATGTATCAACCTCATTTTCCTCATTTCCAACAGACCTCACAACTCTAAGGATGCCTGGCATAGATGTGGGCAAAACGTCAGGAGAGAATGCTTCTGGAACATGGTCAGACAGCCTGGAAAACTCATACCAATACATTCATTATGTTCGCAAATGAGGATTTGTTTACAATGGAATAAACCAATGGATAAATGTTTGGAGGTGTTTTTTTTGGCACCCAATGCTCCGCGGCCACGTCTTTCCCGGGTTCGAGGGAGTTCTTACAGAGTCGGAGTCGTCTCCTGTCTGGTTGCTGAGAAAATCCGCATAGTCGTCCTTATGGCTGCCAAGGACCTCCTCCTCGTATTCCGTCTGATAGTCGGACTCATCTGGGAAAGGTCGAGGAAGGAAGGCCGTTACAAGACGTAAACACCAGAGAGTTCAAAACTTTTGACACATCCCTAATAAATCTGCTGTGTTTTAATCAAGGGGAGAACGTCTTCCCGTTGCTTTTGGCAAAGGATCCACCAGCCTGCCTTGAAACTGGGCTCTCAAAGTGCTGACGGATCTGTCCAATCTGCCATTTGAACATCCTCCAAAGTCATCCCCAAAATGGATGAGGGCCTGCAACAAGGAGGACTCCGGACACTGCTCTGCGAAGGGTCAACCCTGGTTCTCTCTTACGTTCAGTGGACCTCTCTAAATAATAATAATAATAATAATAATAATAATAATAATAATAATAATAATAATAATAATCTTTATTTATACCCCGCCACCATCTCCCCCAACGAGGACTCGGAGCGGCTTACATGGGGCCAAACCCAAACAACAAATTACAATACAAAAAAAATACAAATTGCAGTAAAATAAACAAATAAATAAATATCTTGACCACGACTCTACTTACCATCCACGACAACAGGCTTGACCGGCTCGATCCGGGAGACGATTTCAGCTAAGTCTGTGAAGGAGGTCGTGGGGCAGGTCACGGGCTGCAGGGGAATGAAAAGAGAAGGACGACCGGTGGCATCGTTGGGTTTTATGACCACTGCATCTGCTCCAAGGACTCAAGTTGGGGGAGATACACAAAGGTAGCCTTCAAGGGTTGGGTATGACGCACAAGGGCAGACAATCAATGCAATAAATCCTTGACTACCTGTTGGCTAACCACTAATACTGCTACTACCATTTCTCCTTTCTCTTCCTCCTCAATTCCTTCTTGCCCTCCTCCCTCCTCTTTTTCATCTCCAATGTCTCCTCCTCCCCTCCTCCCCCTTCTTTTCCTCCACTTCCTCTTCACTGTCTCCTCCCTTCCTCCACTTCTTTTCCTCCTCCTCTTCTTCATCTTTATTGTTCCCTCCCCTCCTCTCCCTTCTTTTCTTCCTCATCTTCTTCCTCTTCCTTGTCTCCTTCTCCTCCCTCTTCTTTTTCTCTTCCTCCTCTTCTTCATCTTCCATTGAAGATGGGAGCCCCCGGTGGCGCAGTGGGTTAAAGCACTGTGCTGGCAGGACTGAACAGGTCGCAGGTTCGAATCCGGGGAGAGGCAGATGAGCTCCCTCTATTAGCTCCAGCTCCTCATGCGGGGACATGAGAGAAGCCTCCCACAAGGATGATAAAACATCAAAAATCATCCAGGCGTCCCTGGGCAACGTCCTTGCAGACGGCCAATTCTCTCACAACAGGAGCGGTAGCTCCTGACACTACAAAAAAAAAAAATCTTCCCTTGCTCCTCCTCTCCTCCCTCTTCTTTTCCTTCTCTACTTCCTCTTCATTGTCTCCTCCCCTCCTCCCTCTTGATTTCCTTCTCTTCTTTTTCATTTTCCCTGGCTCCTCCCCTCCTCTCTCTTGATTTCCTCCTTCTCCTCTTTTCCTTAATCTTTCGTCTCTTCACTCCTCCCTCTTCTTTTCCTCCTCCTCCTCTTCTTCACTGTCTCCTCCCCTCCTCCCCCTTCATCTTTATTGTCTCCTTCCCTCCTTCCCTTCTCTTCCTCCTCTTGTTCACCTTCATCTCCTCTCCTCTTCTTCATCCTCTCCTCCCCTCCTCCTCCTTCCTCTTGATTTCCTCCTCCTCTTCTTCATCTTCACTGTCTCCTCCCCTCCTCATCTTCATTGTTTCCTCCCCTCCTCCCCTCCTCCTCCTCCTCCCCCTTCACTGTCTCCTCCCCTCCTCCCCCTTCTCTTCCTCCTCCATTTATTCACCTTCATTGTCTTCTCCCTCTTCTTTTCCTCCTCTTCTTCCTCTTCATTGTCTCCTCCCCTCTTCCTTCTTTATTTACTCCTTTTCTTCTTCTTCATCTTCCCTGGTTCCTCCCCCTTCATCTTCATTGTCTCCTTCCCTCCTCCTCCTCCTTTTCTTCCTCCTCTTCTTCACCTTCATTGTCTCCTCTTCTCCTATTCTTCTTCCTCCTCTTCTTCATCGTATCCTCCCTCCTCCCTCTTCTTTTCCTCCTCTTCTTCCTCTTCATTGACTCCTCCCCTCCTCCTTCTCCCTCTTTCTTGTCTCCTCCTCTCCCTTCTTTCCCTCTTCATGCTCCTCTCCCTCATATTCACTGTCTCTTCCCCTCCACCTCTTTCCTTGTCTCCTCTCCTCCTCCCTCTTCTTTTCCTCTTCATCTTCACTGCTTCCTCCCCCTCCTTCTCTTTTTCCCCACCTTTCTTCTCCTAAAGGAGACTCAAAGCAGCTAACAATGCTCAATCTGACCAAGTCACTCTTTCAAGTGAGCCAAACTGTATCGACAGATTCAGCCGGATTCACAGCTTGAAAACATTCCCCCCTTCCAAACAATTCCACCCCTAAATTCTAGATTTTGTGACTTTTCTATAAGGGACGTATATACCAAAACTTGATCATCCACGGATTATTTTTAAGATATATGTGTGTTCTTGTTAATTTTATGTTATACTGTTTACTCTGTATGTTTTGGTGATGTTACTTGGAAACCGCCCTGAGTCCCCCTCGGGGAGATAGAGCAGTATATAAATAATAATATTAATAATAATATTAATAATAATAATAATAATAATAATAATTATTATTATTATTATTATTATCTGATCTTGGAACCAAACAAGAGTGGAGGCCAAAGCCCACTAGTTTGAGTTTGGAAGGAATATATTGCCATCGGATCCTGTTGGGAGGATGCTTTCGGTGAAATTAGTAATTATAGATCACGGGTTGCTTCTATTTCGATACTCACAGAAGAGGTTTTGGATTTACAGAGCTCCTGCCTGTCCTTCAGCATCTTGTCCAGGACGCCGCTCCGGCACCAGACGTTGAACACCGTCTTTCCGTGCTGATAGCCCACTTCCTGAAAGAGAAGGAAGGATGTGTTCGTGAACAGCGGCAGAACATTACAATATTTAAATTCTTCTCTCCCTTGTTAATGGGGGAAATGCTAGACCTTGGCCTTGCATGCAAAAGCAACACCCCCAAAGCAGGTATCCATTCCCACTCACACAGATCTCATCAAACTTCCCAAAGTCCAGGGTGCCGTAGCGGTCGATGGGCGGCCGGATGTACTCGCAGTAGTCGCTGTTCTTGACCATCTCCAACTGCCGGACGCAGCAGACGTAGGCCAGCCGGGTCTGGATCTCCGCCATGTTCAGGACCTGCCAAAAGGATGAAGCATCACTGGTGCAAACAAAAAGAGGAATGGGCTGACCCCAAATGTGTTTTTTCTGATCTAGCCTTCCTCTCCAAATGACTGAAGCCTAGCTCAGCCAAATGCATTTGGGGTCAGCCCAATCCCTCCCGACAGAGGGCCATCCACACTCTGTTTAACTACCTTCATAGAACTGGAAGAGACCATCCAATCTGCCATGAACTATGGCACAATCCAATCCCTCCTGACAGATGGCCATCCAGTCTGTTTAAAGACCTTCATAGAGTTGGAAGAGACCTCTAGGGCCATCCAGTCCAGCCCTATTCCACCACGAACTAAGGTACAATTCGATCCCTCCCAACAGACGACCATCCAGTCTGTTTAAAGACCTTCATAGAGTTGGAAGAGACCCCAAGGGCTATGTGGTCCAGCCCTATTCTGCTACAAACTAAGGCACAATCCAATCCCTCCCAACAGATGGCCATCCAGTCTGTTTAAAGACCTTCATAGAGTTGGAAGACACCCCAAGGGCCATCCAGTCCAGCCCTATTCTGCCACGAACTAAGGTACAATCTGATCCCTCGTGACAGATGGCCATCCAGTCGGTTTAAAGACCTTCACAGAGTTGGAAGAGACCTCTAGGGCCATTTAGTCCACCATGAACCAACACACAATACAATCCCTCCCGACAGATGCCCATCCAGTGTTTAACAACCTTCACAAAATTGGAAGAGGCCCCATAGGCCATCTAGTGTGCCATGAACCAAGGCATAATCCGATCCCTCACAACAGGTGGCCATCCAGTGTTTAAAGACCTTCACAGCATTGGAAGAGGCCCCAAAGGCCATCCAGTCTGCCATGAACCAAGGCACAATCTGGTCCCTCCTGACATATAGCCATCCTGCCACTGTTTAAAGGCCTTTGCAGAACTGGAAACGGAAAAGGAAAGTGCCTGGGGTTGTTAGGAATTGTGGAAGTCCAAAACACTTGGAGAGCTGAAGTTTTCCCATGCCTGGGTTATACAGTCGTTTGGGAGGAAACTCAAGGAACGGGGGGGGGGGGGGGGGGGTACCTTGACTTTCTCCACCAAGGGGTTCCACCGCTTCCATAATAGCCACCACCCGGAGAGGGCATCCCCATAGTTGGTGAGGTTGGTCTCGTCCCGGCTGCCCACATCGATGGCGATGACCACTTTGGCCCCCATGGACCTCGCAACGTCAGCTGTTGGGACAAGAAGGGAGAGCCAGCTTCAGAACGTTTCCATGAAGTAATACAATTGGGTCGGATCCCTGGCCTTCGTCATTCCAAAACACGGAGCAGGGCCGCTTCACCTTCCAAAACTGCTCTCTTGGAAATTTCTTCCCCTCTCAGCAGAAACGAGGGTGATTTATGGACTTATCCCCATTCCTGTAATTCACTTTTGTTGTGGTTTTTCTTTTTCTTTTGGCCTGATTATAATAAAAATGGCCCTTTGCAGAGCAAGAGTGACTCAGGGTCCTTTGGGGAGGCAAGGGAGGGGTGGGGAGCAATAAGAGGTGCAGCAAATAGCTTTGTGACAATAATAATAATAATAATAATAATAATAATTTATTTATACCCCACCACCATCTCCCCAAGGGACTCGGAGCGGCTTACATGAGGCCAAGCCCAACAACACATCAAAAACAACAAGCAATAAACGAAAGTAAACAATACAGTTAATGACAAGGAAAAGCTGCCGAGTGGAATGAGACTTTCTCAGCAATGTTTATAAGGCCTGTGTATGTTTAAACTTGCATTTGAAAGCTGTACAATCTGGCACTGTTGTGCGTGTTTCTGCTCTCAAATACAGCAACGTTGCAAGTTAAGATGATGGAATGGGAGTGGGAAGGCCCTGTTCCGTTGGGTCCAGTTTGGAACAAGTACCGTATATACTCGAGTATAAGCCGACCCGATTATAAGCCGAGGCACCCAATTTTACCACAAAAAAACTAGGAAAATTATTATTATAATAATATTATTATTATTATTATTATTATTATTATATTATTATTATTATTATTATTACTGATTGACTCGAGTATAAGCCAAGGGTGGGAAATGCAGCAGCTATGGGTAAATTTCAAAATAAAAATAGATACCAATACAATTACATTAATTGAGGAATCAGTAGATTATATTTTTTTGAATATTTACATAAAACTGAAATTTAAGATAAGACTGTCCAACTCTGATTAAACCATTATTCTAAGTTTCTTCAATGTAAATGTGCTGAAGTATCCTTCCAATTATTTATTTTATTTATTTACAACATTTGTATCCCYCCCATACAAGCCTGAAGGTGACTAATAATAATAATAATAAAGAGAGYAAAGTAAAAAATGTTATAATAATAATAATAATAATAATAATAAGAGTAAAATAAGGGAAACATAATTATAACAGTAATAATAGAGTAAAATAATAAATGTAATAATAACAATAATAAAGTAAAATAATAAATGTAATAATAATAATAAATAGAGTAAAATAATAATTGTAATAATAACAATAACAGAGTAAAATAATAAATGTAATAATGAGTAAAATAATAAATGTAAAATAATAATAATAATAACAATAACAGAGTAAAATAATAAATAGCCTTGACTCGAGTATAAGCCGAGGGGGACTTTTTCAGCCTACAAAAAGGGATGAAAAACTAGGCTTATACTCGGGTATATTCAGTAATTGCCCTCTCCGTTACTTTTACTGACTTGCAGGCCTGTTGTGAAACAACACAAAGAGGTAAAAAATGCCATTCTGGGAATTCTAGACAGGGGAATTCCAGACAAGAAACAATCAGGGCCAGCTAACCCCTCCCAACCAAGGATTCCCCCAGGCAGGAAGCACCCAGCCTTTGAAAATGCAAGGATACTAATCAAGCTGGCCAATTGCAACATTCACACTTGCCTCAGGCAGACGAGAATTCTTTCTTCCACCCTGGACAAATGTAACTGGGTAGTTGTTTCTGCTTCAGTGGGGTGGCCATAGAAATTGGAAGAGGCCCCCAAGGTCCATCCAATCCAACCCTATTCTGCCATGCTGGAATGCACAATCCAAGCCCTCCCAATAGAAAGTCACCCAGTCTCTGTTCAAAAGCCTCAAGAAGAGACAATACGAGGCAGCGTCTTCCCCTATCGAGCAGCTCATTCGGCACAGGAAACCAGGGAGAAGAAAGAAGGAAAGCCTCCACTTTTCCACCCTGTCCCTACTGTGTGAATGGACAATACCTGGCAGGTTGTTGATGTAACCACCATCCATCAAGAGGTGCCCGTCCTTTGGGTCGCAGAGTGGGGGCAAGTAGCCAGAGAGGGACATGCTGGCCCGGATGTACCGCCATAAGCAACCTGGAAGGAAAGAAAGAACCCATTTGAGACCATGAATAATCCCTATGAGGAGTGTCTCAAAGAGCTGGGTGTGTTTAGCCTGCAGAAGAGAAGGTTGATACTAGACATCAGAGCCATATCTATATGTAAAAGGGTGTCATAAGGAAGAGGGCTTGTTTTCAATGCACTCAATGGAGCAATAAGTTCAAAATGACAGGAAAGGAGATGCCACCTGAACATGAGGAAGAACTTCTTGACTGTAAGACCTGTTCAGCGGTGGAACTCTCTGTCTCCATGGAAGCATTTAAACAGAGGCTGGATGGCTATCTGTCAGGGTGCTTTGATGGTGCTTTTCCTGCATGGCAAGTGGGTCTCTTCCAACTCTATTATTATTATTATTATTATTATTATTATTATTATTATTATTATTACTGTTATTGTTGTTGTTGTTATTGTTATTGTTATGGCTGGATGGCCATCTGTCAGGGGTGCTTCGATGGTGCTTTTATTGCATGGCAGGGGGTTGGATTAGATGGAACTCTCTGCCTTGGAGTCTGGTGGAAGCTCTTTCTTTGGTGGCTTTGAAACAGAAGCTGGATGGCCATCTTTTGGGAGTGCTTTGAATTATTATTATTATTATTATTATTATTATTATTATTATAATTGCGGTTCCCTAGCTTTCCTATCAAATGGCTCAAGAAAGGAAACCTTTCGCCCAGCAACTCTGCCTCCTTCTCTCAGACCGATCCAATTATTTTTCTTCGGAGCCGCATGATGAGATAATTTATAACCATTAAAATGCAGGGTTGTTTTAATCAGCCCAAATGGCTTGGACTCGCTCCCTCCAGAAAGTGGCAAAGGCTGAGCGTCGCCCTCATTATTCTTTCCTCTAATCAAAGAGCCGCAGACCTGGATGAGCATTGATCCTTTCTTCCTTCCCTTTGAAAACAAACTAGCCCTGAAAGCCGAAGAAGCGCTGAAGTTCTGGAAAAGAGTGTCCTCTGAACATAAAAAAATCATATAAAAGTTTATCTGCATGTAACCAGCACCACACAGAGTCCAGCAGCAGCTAATTACAATAGTTTATTTACAAAATTTACATCTTATTTATTTTATGTCACTATAAGATCCAACCTGTCCATCCTCCAGGAAATAAAGCCCGACTGCTCACTGGAGGGAAAGATACTAGAGACAAAGTTGTTGGCCACATCATGAGAAGAAAGGAAAGCTTAGAGAAGACAATTATGCTGGGGAAAGTGGAAGGCAAAAGGAAGGGGGGCCGACCAAGGGCAAGATGGATGGATGGCATCCTTGAAGTGACTGGACTGACCTTGAGGGAGCTGGGGGTGGTAACGGCCGACAGGGAGCTCTGGCGTGGGCTGGTCCATGAGGTCACGAAGAGTCGGAGACGACTGAACGAGTGAACAACAACATAATCCCACCCATATCAGCCCTCAGGGCATAAACAAAAAGGAAAATTGACATTTCCCAAAAAGCAGTAGAAAAGGTGCTATGAAATAGTGGTAGTCCAAAATACAAAGATAAATAGTCCAAGATAGAAGGTACATAAAATCCATGAAGTCAAGAGCATAGGCAGAAATCAATAAGCATGAAACAAGAAATTTTCCAAGACAAAAATCATTCAGGAACAAAGGCAAACTTGAGAGCTAAACATAAACTTGATTTTATGGCAATGTTGTCTGCTCTGAAGAGTCCAGGAAAACAACACTTAATTTGAGCTCAAGCTTGACCAAGAAGCCATGAGATCATCCCTTCGACACATGGGTTTCAAGGACTGCTTCTTACTGAGTCTTTCTGACCTTCTAATTAACCTTTCCTTTGCTCTCTCCACACCGAGGCCTAATCTCATATCACAGGAAAACTCCCCATCTTCCGATGGCTGATTCTCAAAAGAAATGGGATCTTAAACATCCTTTATGTCTTCTGCAGTTGGCGACTTCTCTCTGATCTACGGCTTGCAATTCTGCCTGTGTTTCAGCCTGATCACACACAGATTTAGTGACAAAATTCCCAGCATCTTGCTGCTGAACCCCAACACCCTCCCATTTTCACCTCACCAAATCTGGCCAAATTTGAGATCAAGCTTGACCAAGAAGCCATGAGATCATCCCTTCGACACATGGGTTTCAAGGACAGCTTCTCACGGAGTCTTTCTGACCTTCTAATTAACCTTTCCTTTGCTCTCTCCACGCCGAGGCCTAATCTCCTATCACGGGAAAACTCCACATCTCAAGAGGAATGGAATCCCAAACATCCTTTATCTCTTCTGCAGTTGCCGACCCTTCTCTCTGATTTATGGCCTGCAATTTTGCATGTGTTTCAGCCTGATCACACACAGATTTAGTGAAAAATCCATTATTCTTCTCATCCACCGAGACAGAATCCCTAGCATCTTGCTGCTGAACCCAACACCCTCCCACTTTCACCTCACCAAATCTGGTCATTTTTGCAAAATGTTTGGACACCCCTGGCTTAAAGGGATGTTGAAATTACAACCATTGCGTTCACACCAAACCCGCCTTCGTTGACCCACTTACCGTCTGTGTGGACCCTCATGGTCGAGGCAGTGATGTCCGTCGTGATGATGAAGTAAGGGATCCACAGATCCTGCAAAATGGAAACCATGTCTTGAACCAATTCTTCCCCAGTCGCTTTACTTTGAAAAAGAAAAGAGGCTCGGAAAGGAGTCTCGCTGCTGGATCTCTGCAGGAGTCACAGCGTCACAGCTTTCTGATGGTGGCAATCCTACCTTCCAGGAAACGGACCGTTAAACGGGATAAAACCAAACTTTGGAGATGGTTGCTTCCTGTCATCTTGGTTTAAGGCTACTTGCAATCTGATATGAAGAAGCTGGTGGAGCTGCTTTATTGGAATCCATCCAATAAAGGTATCATTTAATTGCCATGGCCAGAATCGTTGGGTTACTGTGAGTTTTCCGGGCTGTATGACCATGCTCCAGAAGCATTCTCTCCTGACATTTCGCCCACATCTATGCAAGCATTCTCAAAGGCTGTGAAGTCTGTTGGACACTAGGCAAGTGGGGTTTATATATCTGTGGAATAATGTGGGTGGGAGAAAGAACTCTTGTCTCTTGCAGGCAAGTGTGAATGTCGCAATTGGACAGCTTGATTAGCACTGAATAGCCTTGCATTCATATGTTTTATGTAATCATGATGTTGTTTATTGTTTACGTTTTTGTTTTCGGTTTTGTTGTTTGGGCTTGTCCTCATGTAAGCCGCCCCGAGTCTCCATCGGGGAGATGGTGGCGGGGTATAAATAATAATAATAATAATTATTATTATTATTATTATTATTATTGCAGATTCAAAGCCTGCCTGCTACCTGGGGGAATCTTTGGTTGGGTGGTGTTAGCTGGCATTGATTGTTTCCTGTCAGGATTTCCCATGTTTTCTGAGTTTTGTTCTTTATTTACAGTCTTGAATTTAAAGGGTTTTTAAAAATACTGGTAGCTAACAAAGGATTCCCCCAGGCAGGAAGCAGCCAGTCGTTGAAACTGCAAGGCTATTCAGTGCACTACAACTCTCAGGAAGGAAAGTCAGTTCCCCCCAAACCCCTCCAGTAATCAAATTTCAGCATATCAGGTCTGTGTGCCAAGTTTGGTCCAGATCCATCATCGGTCCAGGTCAAAGTTTCACTGGTTGTGGGTGAACTACAATTCCCAGAAAGGAAGGTCAGTTTCCCTCAAACCC